CTTTGTATCAGGGAGGTCAAAGGATAAGCTAGATAAATGCGATCACATCAACAGCAGTGGGATAGGTTGGTGTCTACTTTTGGTAGAGTCTCTGCTCTCTGTGCCCTCTCATGAGGGGGGTCCATGCGGCCCTGGGAAGTTTCTCGATGGTGGAAAGCAGCCCTGTGGCAGGTGCTCACTAGCACCCTCCTCAGGACACGGCTGAGACAGCAGGGTCCAAACTTCTTCACTGCGGTAACATTGGTTAATTGCTCTGGATCCATTTTAGGGGGAGAAGAAATAGTAAAGGTTCCTTTCCCCGTGGGAGATCCCCTAAAAGTAATCTTGTAATAAGCTTCAAATACTGGGTCATACATCTTGGTTGTGTTGCCGAGTACTGAACTGCATGGTTCTTTTTTAGCTTCTGTTCAGCCACTTGGCACCACGATATTTGTTTATGTGCTTTGTATCTATACTGAGAACCAACAGTCAGGAATAGTCAAGAGTGATGTACAGTAATGTTTTCAGGTGGTAGTTTTATTGCAAGAAGCATTTCACTTACTGCAAGAATTCCTCATGTAAAGTAATCTCACCATAGGTGACAAAAGTGTATGTGTGTGTACACTGCAGTTAAGAATCTTGCCCTAGTAGGATTACTCTCCACATCTCTCTCCGTGTTTCTAAAGTGGTTAAATTGCTTGCTATTAACTTTTGGATAATCCTATTCTAAGTTAGTAGATACTGTTTAAGAAAACTAGTATCACAGAAGTTTTTCATGTTGCTCAAAGAATTGTTCACTTTGGGCCATGTGAGCACAGTATCCCGAGAGATCTCAACAAGTGTGCTCTACATGAGCAAACCCAGACTAGTGTGGCGACACATGACTGCCAGAATTTTGATGAATCTCAGAGGGTTGGGGAAGAGAAACCTCAGCAGTAATCTATTTCAAAATCATAAATCTTTGGCCTGGGACTGTGGTGTAGAAGGTTAAGCCTCAGCCTACAGTGCTGGTATCCCAAATGGGTGCCAGTTCAATTCCTGGCTGCCCCACTTTCAATCCAGCTCCCTGTTTATGGCCTGGGAAACCAGTGGAAGATGGCCCAAGTGCTTGGACCCCTGCAGCCACATGGGAGGTCCAGAAGAAGCTCCTGCCTCTTGGCTTTAGATCCGTTCAGCTATAGCCATTGTGGCCATTTGGGGAGTGAACCAGAGGATTGGAGCTCTCTCTCTCTCTCTGTCTCTCCCTCTGTAACTGCCTCTTAAATAAATAAGTCTTTAAAAAAATTCTTAAAAGTTGGAGTTTCCTTCCCTCTTTTTTTTTTTAAGTTCTTAACATTGGTGCAATTTCAGCACCCGTGTCCCTTCCTGAAAGTAGTAGTGTATTTCCACCAAGAAAGCTAGTGTGACAGACTTAAGTTGCTTTGATGCCCACTTTCATCACTCTTATTTAATGTAGTATTGGAAGTTTGAGGCACAATTTGGGAAGAGAAATTGAACTTTGAAATTGCAAAGGAGGAAGTCAAAACATCCCTGTTGACATGTATGACATAGTGTACATGGAAAAGCCTAAACACTCTAGCAAAAAGCATTTGAATTGATAAATGAATACAGTCTAAGGTTAGAAAGCCAACATACAAAAAAAGTAACTTTTTGTACATCAGTAATGAACTGGGCAAGAGAAATCAAGAAAAAAGTCCCATTCACAATAGCCATCAAAAAATCGAATATTTAGGCATAAATTTACCAAAGAAGTGAAAAATCTCTACCATGAACACTATAAAATGTAAGAAATCATGAACACACACACACGCACACACACAGACAAGTTCCTTGCTCGTGGATAGAAAGAATATTAAGATATCTGTACTACTCAAAGCAATCTACAGATTCAACGCAATTCCTATCAAAATACCAATGAAACTCTTTAAAGAAAAAAATCTTAAAAATTCACTTGGAATTTTACAAAAGTCCCAGAATAGACAAAGCAATCGTGGGAAAAAAATTTAAGTTGCAGGCATCACAGTGTCTGACTTCAAAGCATACTACAAAGCTATAGTAATAAAAGCAGCATGCTACTGGCATAAAAACAGGCACATAGACCACTGAAACATAGTAGAGAGACCAGAATTTAATCCCCATGAATACAGACAGCTGATTTTTGACAAAAGTGCCCAGACGGAACACAACATTAAAGGAAGGATAGTCTTTTCAATAAATGGTAATGGCAAAATTGGATATAGAATGAAGTTAGGTTCCTGTCTGTTGCCAGATACAAAACTCACTTGGATTGAAGACCTAAATTTAAGACCTGAGACTATGAAATAGTTACAAGAAAACAAGGAAAACACTTCAAGGCAATGGAGTAGATGACTTCTTAAGACCTAAAATGCAGGCAACAAAAGTAAAAGTAAACAAAATGGCCTTATATGAATCTCAGAAGCTTTTGCCCAGCAAAGGAAACAACAGAGTGAAGAGACATCCAACAGACTGGGAGGGAATATTCCAAGCTCTTATCCAGCAAGGGCTAGTATCTAAAATAGATCAGCAACTCTAAAAACTGAACAATAAGAAAACAACCAATTCATTGAAGAAATGGGCAGAGGATTTGAATAAACAGTTTTCAAAAAAGTACAAATGGCCAAAAAATAAATGAAAAAGTGCTCAGCATTACTAGCCATTAGAGAAATGCAAATCCGCACCACAATGAGACATCACCTCACCTCTTTCATAATGGCTGTTATCCAAAAGAAAGAAAACAACAATGTTGGTGATGTTGACAGAGGGGAACTATTTTATGCTGTTGGTGAGAATGTGATTAGTGCAGCCACTGTGGAAAATGTATGGAAATTTCCTTAGAAACTAGAAATAGATTTGCCCTAGGAACCAGCAGTCCCATTCCTGGATAAATCATTTTATCAGAGATACATGTTCCACCATACTTATGGCAGCCCTGTTCACAGTAGCCAAAATGCAGTCAACCAAGGTGTCCATTATTAGGTGACTGGATATAGGAAATGTGATACATACACATACATGCATATACCACAATGGAATACTCTTCAGCTATAAAAAAAGAATGAAATCCTATCATTTGCAGCAAAATGGTTTGAACTGAAAGACATCATGTTGATCAAAATCAGCTGGCCATAGAAGAAAGGTAAATACTACATGTTTGCCCTTATGCATGGGAGCTAAAGTTAAAAGAAAATGATAGAGGAGGAAGGAAAGGAAAGGGAAATGGAAAGGGTTAAAGTTTGTATTAAATGATTGACCAACAGATTGATAAGAATTATATGCTCCAATGGTAAGAATGCTTCTGTGACTTTTAAAATTTGCTTTATATGAGTGAAGTTGGACATCTTTTCACTTGGTTATTGATTATAGTCCACCTATTTTTCTGCTGGACTATGGTCTTTCTATTTTTTTTTATTTTTTGAACTTTTTATTCAGTAGAACATTAAACCTTTGACTGTAATATAAATTTAAAATGTCATCTCAAACTTTTTTTGACAGGCAGAGTTAGACAATGAAAGAGAGAGAGACAGAGAGGAAGGTCTTCCTTTTTCAGTTGGTTCACCCCCCCAGGTGGCCCTATGGCCGGTGCGTTGCGCCGATCTGAAGCCAGGAGCCAGGTGCTTCCTCCTGGTCTCCCATGGGGGTGCAGGGCCCAAGCACTTGCGCCATCCTCCGCTGCACTCCCGGGCCACAGCAGAGAGCTGGACTGGAAGAGGAGCAACCGGGACAGAATCCGGCACCCTGACCAGGACTAGAACCCGGGGTACCGGCGCCGTAGGCGGAGGATTAGCCTAGTGAGCCACAGCACTGGCCTCACAAAAACTTTTAATAAAAATGAATTTTAATAAAAGTACTTAAAGCAACAGTAGTCAAGAAAAAGTGATTCCCTGTGGCCACAGGGCTGTCTTCCTCAGAGTTCCCCAGGCATGGATGAAGCTGGTTTGAGCAGGACTGATGGATTTTAAAATAATTCCAATTATTTACTATTTCTTTTGTCTTTTGCACACAAAAAGAAGTTACTGATAATTCTTTATTTTCTGTGTTTACCAAGATTGCATTACCCTCCTGCTATGTGTGTGTGTAACTGAAGTTTGTCACATAAGCTACCTGTATAGTACTTGGAACAAGAGAACAGTGTGTCAGTGCTGGGGACTGGTGTGTGAAACATTTTTCTTTCCTGGGTTTAAATTTTAGTCTTTGCTGCTGCGTTGATGTTTGGTAACAGAGAGTTTGCAAATCAAGTAGAGGAAGAAAATAGAAATTAGCTTTTTGAAAATCTGAAGTTACAAATGTGAAACAAAGCAGTGTTAAATACTTTCCCAAAAATGTGTAAGTAAATACATATTGATGAGACAATAAAATCAATCATTTGATATAAGAGTTTGGTATCACAGTTATCCAGAATTATAACCTAATGTTCCTTTGCCCTTTGTTCTCATTTATCTCATCATAAGATGGAAACTTCCCATGAAGTATATTACTTAAAAAGGAAAGAAATATAGGTCAGCATTGTGGTGTGGCCGGTTAAGCCATTGCTTGTAACTGGTGTCCCCTGTTGGAGTGCAGATTAGCTCCCAGCTGCTCCGCTTCTGATCCACCTTCCTCTTAATGTGCCTGAGAAGGGAGTGAAGATGGCTGAAGTGCCTGGACCCCTGCCATCCATGTAGGAGATCTGGAAAGAGTACTGGGCTCCTGGCCTTGGTCCTGTGGCCATTTGAGCAGTGAACCAGTGGATGGAAGATATGCTCTCTCTCTTTTTCTCTTTTACATACTCACTCTTTCTCGGTTGCTCTGCATTTCAAATAAATACATTTTTTAAAAAATCACCATTGACACTTTAATGTTTAATTTCTCAACTATATACAATTATATACATGCACAAAAGTCAGTATATGTGCCTACAAATAGATAGCTTTGGAAAACATGTGTGGTACCGATTGGGAAGCATATGATGTGTGTTATAAGAGGAGCTACACTAAAAAGAGTACCAGGTACAGGATAATTACCTTAGGTCTGATTGAAGTACATCTCAACTGAGAAACATGAACTGTAAATTTTCCAGGCTTTTCGTTTGTGTGGGTTGTCCAATTCATTTCGTCTTAAATACAGCCTAAGGAGGAAAAGCAAGCACACATTACATTTTATTTTAGGACTAACAGTCAAGCCCTGCAGTAGGCCCCCTTGGCCTTCGTGAAAAGCCTTGCTCACCACATTTAGAACCTCAGCCTTTTTTTGTGTCTTACTTGGCTTCCTCCACATCCCTCACAGAATACCTTCATCTTCGCTAACAAGTACCTCAGTGACAACATACTACCAAATCTTTTAGCATCTCCTGTTATAGAATTAATGACATCCAAGATTGATAAAGCATGTTTGCATAGATGACAATGCCACCAGAGGCTTGATGTGTAATAAGACCCAATAACAGTGCCACCATTGTGGTATAGTGGGTTAAGTTGCCACTTGCAATGCTGGCGTCCCATATTGGAGTGCTTGTTTGAGTTCCAGTTGCTCCACTTTTGCTCCAACTCCCTGCTGATGGCCTGGGAAGGCAGCAGAAGATGGCCCAATGGCTTGGACATTTGTTGCCTACATCATGCCTCTCCCTTTCCCTCTCTCTCTCCTTCTCTCCCTCTCCTCCCTCTTCCCCCCACTTCCCTCTCCCTCTATCCCCCTTCTCTCCCTTCTTCATGCTCTCCCTCTCCCTCTATGTCTCCATCTCCCTCTCCATCTCCCCTCTCCCACTCCCCTCTCCCCTCTCTCCCTCCTCTGCCTCCATCTCCCCTCCTCTCCCTCTTCCCTCTCCCTCTGCCCCTCTCCCCTCTCTCCCTCTGCCTCCTCTCCTTCTCTCCCTCTCCCTTTTCCTCCTCTTCATCCTCTCCCTCTCCCTCTCCCTCTCCCTGGCAGAGGCTTTAACCCAGTGTGCCACAACACTCTCAACTTTCAAATAAATGAATCTTCAAAGAATAATAAAACCCAATAATACTGTTTTTTTTTTTTTTAAGAATGACATTGGTGTTTTTGGCCAAACAACATCCTGATAGCTATAAAATCTGCTTTGCCAAGTAGTGTGTACATGTAAAGCTTACAGAAATCTTTAGAAACTTACATAAAAATGATCTAATATTGCTTCTCCAGTATGAACACATTGTTTCAAAGGACAAAACTGTACACTGTAGTAACAGCCATTTTTCAGGAGTAGCACCAGGTTTCTCTATTTGAGGGACTTTGCCCATGTAATGAATCAAAGTTTATTGTTTGTTTACTTCCAGATATAAATGCATAAAAATTTTCCATGAAATGCAGCATTCGCCTTCAAAATCTATTAAATGTGCGTGTATCACAGGAGTGTGTGTGAGATGTTCCCTCTGCTGTCTTATAGGACTTGGGATGGCACTCGAGCCAGTTCAGATTTGCAGCAGAGTAGGGTTGGATGTGATGAATATCAAATAGAGCCACATGCAATTGCAACCAACTTCACTCTAACTTGAATAATTTTCAAAGTATCTTTTCCTTTGGGTTGTAGGGTATGTTGATACCATCTTTTCACCCCCACAGAACATAACCCCAAAGTAGAGCATTTCTAGATTCAGGAATGAGTTCCAGGTATGGGTAAAAAGGTCTTTGGAATGATAACCTTGAAATCCACTTAATAAATGCTTTTTAATAAAAAGTTTCCTGATTGAGTTGTTAGAAAAATGTGCAATTGGGAGACTAATAAATTATTTCTTTTCTCTCTTGATCCCTCTTTCTGTTATGCTCTCCTGCTCTCTTACCCTCTTGCCCTCTTTCCCCAGCCCATCTGGCTCCCCCCACCCAATGATAAACCTTTCCTCTAACTCTGGTGTCTGGTGTGTTTTGTGGCAGCCTTACATCAGTACAATGACTCGGATCCAGGCTCCCCCATTGAACTTGCTCTCCCTTTGGGAGAGCCTCCAGAAATTGTGCTTTAGATTAGCATAGGTTGATGATTGCTTCTAAGTGGATCAGCACTTACTGGGGACCTGCTATATTTTGAATTCAAGGTACTGTGCATAATCATATTGAATTTACTGGGAGTACGTTATCACCATACTCAGGATCTGATTTTAATCCTTTGTAACTTAGAACACAGTTCTCTGGCATGGCCCATGAGGATCATGCAACAGTTGAGTCTCATCTAGGTTTTAAATAATCACATTGAATAAGTGTAATGAAGAGATTATAACAATTGGCAAAAGAATGGCCATTATATCTTACACACAGGCATTGAAGATTAGGCTGTTTCTATTGGATTTATACTATATCCATACCTGTTATTTTGTATGAAAGCTGTATTGAACCAAAAGAAGAATGCACAGTTGTCGTAGTATTTGGGGAGATTCTAAAAAGACATGGTTAAAGAAAAAATGGTTATTTTCATAGTAAAATTGATACCAAGAACTAGTTCCACAGAATAATCTCTTTGGCGTCTTCCCTTCATTTATGCCTCTATATACTGCTCTAACAACTGTACCCATTAAATAGGCAGCACTCCTTGATAATACACCTAGAGACAAGGAGGAGACTAATAGAATGCTGTTGCTTTGTCCTTTTGTTTCTATCAGGAATTTCAAGGATAGCCTGGGCTTTGGGCATAGCAGTTAAGATGCCACTTGGGACACCCACATCCTATATAAGAGTTCCTGGATTCAAGTCCCAGCTCAGCTCCTGATTCCAGCCTCCTGTTAGTGCACACCCTGGAGGCAACAGGTGATGGGTCCCTGCAACCCACATGGGAGACCAGATTTGAATTCCTGGCTCCCAGCCTCAGCTTTCCCCAGCCATGGCTCTTGTGGGGAGTTGAGGCATAAACTAGCCGATGGGCAGTCTCTTCTCTCTGCCTTTTTTGTTTTTAATTTATTTTTTAAGGAATACAAATTTCCTAAGTACAATGTTAGAAATATAGTTATTCTTCACACCATACCCACCCTTCCACCCATACTCCCACCCCACCACCTCCTCCCTCTCCCTTTGCCAGTCTCATTCTCCATTAAGATTCATTTTCACTTAACTTTGTACACAGACCTACCATATGACCTATACTTAGTAAATATTTCAACAGTTTGCACACATACACAAACTGAGGAGTAGTATTATAGTTAACTCATAATGAAACTCATTGAGGGCAGAGGTCCTACATGGGGTGTTAGTGCACAGTGACTCCTTTTGTTAATTTAACAACTAATTTAACTAACAATTTATCTTATGTATGATTATCAGTGACCACCTGAAGCTCTTGACATGATCTGCCTAGGCTATGGAAACCTTGGAAGTCCACTAACTGTCAGTATTTGGACAAGGGCATAAGCAAAGTGGAAGCTTTCTCCTTCCTTTAGAGAAAAGTACATCCTTCTTTGATGGCCAATTCTTTCTGCTGGGGTCTCACTACAGAGTTCCTTCACGTAGCACATTTTTTGCCAGTGTCTTGACTTTCATTGCCTGAAATGCTCTCATGTGCTTTTCAGCCAGACCAGGAAGACTGAAGAGCTGAATCTGATGTCAGAGTATTATTGAAGTGATGGTCATTCTGTTAGTCTGCTGTGTGAACTACTTCCCATGTTGGAACATTCTCTTTTTTAATTCTATTATTATTACCAGGCACTTGATCATATATATATATATATGATCACTTTAACACTTAATATGACCACTTTAACAACCAAGATGGGATTTTTACCATCAGGCTTAATGGGATTTGGAGTCCCATGACAAGTTTAGGAATATATGCAGAATTATAGAGCTTTACAGTTACAAACTTCCTCTTCCCTCTCTTATTCCCACTCTTATTTTTTACTGAGATCTATTTTCAATTGACTTTATATACATATACATATATATACATATACATATATACATATATATGGTTAACTGTTAAGTAAAAAATTCAAAAAATAGTATGAAGGAAAAATAACAAAAACTGTTCTTCGACAGTCAAGATAAGGGGAGCTCAAGTCATCCCTTCTTGAAGTGAATGTTGATTTAACTTCTACAGATTTTGTTTTAGGTGCTCTATTAATTCTCACAGTTGAGAGAGAACATATGGTATTTGTCCTTTGGGGACTGGCTTATTTCACTAAGTATGATGTTTTCAAGATTCATCCATTTAGTTGCAAATGAACTAATTTCATTTTTTCTTTACTGCTGTGTAGTATTCCATAGTGTATGTATCCTATGATTTCTTTATCCAGTCTTTGGTTGATGGATATTTATTTTGATTGCATGCCTTAGCATTGTGAATCAAGCTGCAATAAACATGGAGGTACAGATAACTCTTTTGTTTACTGATTTCATTTCCCTTGGGTAAATTCCTGGGAGTGGGATGACTGGGTCAAATGGTGGGTCTATATTCAGATTTTTGAGGTATCTCCAAACTGTCTTCCAGAGCAGCTTTACCAGTTTACATTCCCACCAACATGGGATTAGGGTATCTTATGACGATTCTTTTTATTTCTTGGTTTCTTTTGTTACATTTCCTTTTTCATCTCTAATTTTGTTGATTTGGGTCTACTCTGTCTTTTTTTTTGGTTAGCTGGGCCAATAGTTTGTTTATTTTTTCAAAAATAGCTCTTCAGTTTGCTGATATTTTGTATTGTTTTTTGAATTCAATTTTGTTGAATTTTTTTTTCTCTAATTTTAGTTTTTTCTTTTTTTCTACTAGTTTAGGGTTTGGTTTACTGTTGGTTCATCCCCAGCATCCTGGCTCTAGTCCTGGTTGGGGCACCGGATTCTGTCCCGGTTGCTCCTCTTCCAGTTCAGCTCTCTGCTGTGGCCCAGGAGTGCAGTGGGGGATGGCCCAGGTCCTTGGGCCTGCACCTGCATGGGAGACCAGGAGGAGGCACCTGGCTCCTGACTTTGGATTGGTGCAGTGCTCTGGTCGCAATGCACCTGCCGTAGCAGCCACTTGGAGGGTGAACCAAGGGAAAAGGAAGACCTTTCTCTCTGTCTCTCTCTCTCTCTAACTCTGCCTGTCAAAAAAATAAAGTGAATAAAAAATGAATTCCTGTTATTTGCAAAAAAAAATGGATGAAACTGGACAACATTATACTTAATGAAATAAGCCAGTCCCCAAAATACAAATGCCTTATGTTCTCTCTCATCTGTGATAACTAACAGAGCACCTAAAAGGTGATCTATTATAGTGAAATTGACACTTTGAGATGCAGTGACTTTGAACAGCCTTTGTCTTGACTGTTGAGGAACACTTTTATTTTCCATACTATTTGTTGAATGTTTTACCTAGTATAAAGTTAATCAGATAGGTATAAAGTTAATTGAAAATAGATCTTAGTAAAAAATTAGGAATGGGACTGAGAGGGAGGAGGAAGAGTGGTAGGAGTGTGGGTGGCAGAGCGGGTATGGTGGCATAAATCACTGTGTTCCTGAAGTTGGATTTATGAAATGCATGAAGTTTGTATCCTTTAAATAAAAGATTCTGGGAAGAAAACAGGTTTCCTGGGAGAGCCACAGCTGCTGCTCACAGTCAGGCACTTAGGCATCAGGCATCTGCCAGGATAATGAAGCATCCTGTGAAAAGCACAGTGTAAACTTCCATGACCACCTCACCTGCAGTCCTGTCAGGGCAGGCTACAGTTTACAGCCACCCTCCAGAGAGCCCTCAAGACCAAACTACTGGCATATTCAACAAATATCAACCATTTCTATAAGGAACAGCTGCACTGAATAGTTAGCCCTACTTATTGAAGATGATACAGTGTTGATGATGATAGAAATATCTGACATTTTGAGTGCTTTCATAATCAGAGGCTGGATGTTACCCAAGTACCCTAGGCCAATGACCTTTACACCATTGCTTCTACTTAGAAACCACTGTTTGAGAATTTAGAGCAGCTCCATTAGGTAGGAGGCCACCAGCCAGTGTGGTAACTACCCAGACTTGTTTCAACTCAGTGACCATCTGAATACTTACAAGATTCTTTTCCAACAGGCAGCAAGCAGGGGATGAAGGAAGGTACAAGAAATAACTTTTAAGTTGCCCAGCATACTTGTTGGCAGTTCTGGTTGATGACTTCATAGGAATATGAATTGAAATTATTGAGGATTACTCCTTGGAATTTACCCCAAGGAAGTTAAATTGGCAATTAAAAGAGCTGTCTGCACCTTAATGTTTATTGCAGCTCAATTCACAATAGCTAAGACTTGGAATCAACCTAAATGCCCATCAACAGTAGACTGGATAAAGAAATTATGGGATATGTACTCTATGGAATCCTATACAGCAGTAAAAAAAAAAAGAAAGAAATCCGGTCATTTGCAACAAAATGGAGGAATCCTGAAAACATCATGCTGAGTGAAATCAGCCCGTCCCAAAGGGACAAATATCATCTGTTCTCCCTGATCGGTGACAACTAACTGAGCACCAAAAAGGAAACCCGTTGAAGTGAAATGGACACTATGAGAAACAATGACTTGATCAGCCCTTGACCTGACTGTTATGAACAACTTAATACTTTATCCCTTTTACTATTTTTTTCTTCTACTTAATACCTTTGGTTGAACTCTGTAATTAACACTCAATTATTCTTAGGTGTTTAAATGTAACTGAAAAGTGATCCCTGTTAAATATAAGAGTGGGAATAATAGAGGGAGGAGATGTACAGTTTGGCACATGCTCAATCGGACTTGCTCCAAATGGTAGAGTTAGAAACATGTTGGGATTCCAATTCAGTCCCATCAAGGTGGCATGTACCAATGTCATCTCACTAGTCAAATGATCAATTTCAGTTCATAATTGATCATAATGATAGGATTAAGAGTCAAAGGGATCACATAAACAAGACTAGTGTCTGCAAATACTAACTGATAGAATTAAAAAGGAGAGAATGATCCAACATGGGAAGCAGGATACACAGCAGATTCACAGAATGGCAGACGTCCTAAACAGCACTTTGGCCTCAGAATCAGCCCTGAAGACATTTGCATCTGGCTAAAAAAGCCCATGAGAGTATTTCAGGCATGGAAAGCCAAGACACTGTGGCAAAAAGAAACAAACAAACCAACCTAAATGAAAGATCTCTGTGAGTGAGATCCCAGCGGAAAGAACAGGCCATCAGAGAAGGAGGTACCTATATCTCTGAAGGGAGGAGAAAACTTCTAGTTTGACTATGACCTTGTCTAAATAAGATTGGAGTCGACGAACTCAAGAGGCTTCCATAGCCTTGGCAGCTCATGACAAGAGACTCGGGTGATTACTGACGCCATAAACAAGAATGTCAGTTGTTAAATCAACAACAGAAATCACTGTGCACTTACCTCCCCATGTAGGATCTCTGTTCTTAATGTGTTGTTCAATGTGAATGCTATAACTAGTACTCAAACAGTATTTTACACTTTGTGTTTCTGTGTGGGTGCAAACTGTTGAAATCTTTACTTAATATATACTAAATTGATCTTCTGTCTATAAAGATAATTGAAAATGAATCTTGCGTGAATGGGATGGGAGAGGGAGTGGGAGATGGGATGGTTGTGGGTGGAGGGAGGTTATAGGGGGAAAAGCCACTGTAATCCAAAAGCTGTACTTTGGAAATTTATATTTATTAAATAGAAGTTTTTTAAAAACATAAAAAAGAAACTATTGAGGATTATAAATTTGTTATATGCAGAATAATATGCAAACACAACAATTTATGGCTGGTCAGTAGAAGTTATGCAGATATGTTCAAGTAAAGAAAATGAAAGGCATTCTTATTTATTTGAAGTTAAATATAGGGTTAAATATAGTGTTAAAATAAGGTTAATTTTAAGTTAAATATAGGGTTAATGAATACTATTTGTAATAAGCATCAACTTCGAGAAAAGCAAAGTCCCATTCAGTTTATAGCAATGTATTTTAAAGGTATAAAACAAAGAAGTTGTCACTGCTATGTAGTAAAAACACGTTTTTTTAGCTCCTTGGTTTTTGTGAGTTTTTTGATTAGTTTTATATATATATATATCAAGTAGAATTTAGAAAAACACAAAGGAGCTTCATACATGTGAATTATATAGAACTTTTTTTAAAAAAGAGCAAAATATCTTAGATTACATGTGTTTTTCTTTTTTGAAAATATGTTAGTGATATGATGCTTTCTTATTCCTGGTTACGGATTGATGTCTCTCATCTCTGCTCTTGGGATTTGTAGCAATAGAAGTCCTAAATCAAAATCAATCAAAAGAGCAAACAAGTACAACAGCAGAAGTAATTTCTTGATTACTTACCCGAGAGAGAAATCTGACTTTAACGTCGTCATATAGGATTGGACAGTTCAACAATTCAATAATGACTTTGTCAGTTTCGACATCGTGAAATATCTGTGAATGAACACATGAAATTCAGAGCTAAAAATCTAGCTGCTGATGGGATCTGTAAAACTGAAGTGGTTTTCACTCATTCAGCCTTTCTGTATTTATCAAGTACTCTTAGCCTCATAGCAAACTCACTATATATATTAATAAATAGAACCTGTCGGGGCTGGCGCTGTGGTGTAGTGGGTAAAGCTGCGGGCCACAGTGCCGGCATCCCGTATGGATGCCGGTTTGAGTCCCGGTTTTCCACTTCTGACCCAATTCTCTGTGAAGGCCTGGGAAAGCAGTGGAGGATGGGCCCAGTTCTTGGGCTCCTGCACCTTCATAGGAGACCCAGAGGAAGCTCTTGGCTCCTGGCTTCAGATTGGCGCAGCTCTGGCTGTTGCAGCCATCTGGAGAGTGAATCAGCGGATGGAAGACTCTTTCTCTCCCTGCCTCTCCTCTCTGTGTGTAACTCTGACATAAATCTTTAAAAAAGTAAATATAAACTCTCTTTTCTGTAAAGTTGCGAGTCTATAAATTTCTGTAACATTGTTTCAAAATTATATTGGGACACTTATTTATTTATTTATTTATTTATTTTTTATTTAGTAAATATAAAATTTCCAAAGTACAGTTAATGGATTACAATGGCTTCCCCTCCCCATAATTTCCCTCCCACTCACACCCCTCCCATCTCCCACTCCCTCTCCCATTCCATTCACATCAAGATTCATTTTCAATTATATACAGAAGATCAATTTAGTATATATTAAAAAGATTTCATCAGTTTGCACCCACACAGAAACACAAAGTGCAAAATACTGTTTGAGTACTAGTTATAGCATTACTTCACATTGGACAACACACTAAGGACAGATCCCACATGAGAAGTAAGTACACAGTGACTCCTGTTGTTGACTTAACAATTTGACACTCTTGTTTATGGTGTCAGTAATCTCCCTAGGCTCTTGTCATGAGTTGCCAAGGCTATGGAAGCCTTTTGAGTTCGCTGACTTCGATCTTATTCCCACAGGGTCATAGTCAAAGTGGAAGTTCTCTCCTCCCTTCAGAGAAAGGTACCTCCTTCTTTGATGGAGCCCAGTTCTTTCTACTGGGATCTCACTTGCAGAGATCTGTCATTTAAGTCTTCTTCTTTTTTTTTTTTTTCCCCCAGGGTGTCTTGGCTTTCCATGCCTAAAATACTCTCATGGGCTCTTCAGCCATATCCGAACGCCTTAAGGGCTGATTCTGAGGCCAGAGTGCTATTTAGGACATCTGCCATTCTATGAGTCTGCTGTGTATCCCGCTTCCCATGATGGATTGTTCTCTCCCTTTTTGATTCTATCAGTTAGTATTAGCAGACGCTAGTCTTGTTTATGTGATCCCTTTGACTCTTAGACCTATCAGTGTGATCAATTGTGAACTGAAATTGATCACCTGGACTAGTGAGATGGCATTGGTACATGCCACCTTGATGGGATTGTATTGGGATCCCCTGGCACAGTTCTAACTCCACCATTTGGGGCAAGTCCGATTGAGCATGATATTGGGACACATTTGAAAAGCAAAGTGTTTGATTTATTTTCAATTAAGTTTAGTCACGTAAACATTACTGTTTAATGTGTTATGGTTTTCATAAGTTGGACCACTTTTGATAATACACTCAAATCTTCAGTTTTAAAGTTGACACTGCCATTCAAGAAGCAATACAGAATGCTTAATCCAAAATCATGTGTTTTTGATGGGATCATTGGTAAGCTCCATTGCAGGCCTTTAAATGAAGTGATTAACGATAAACTTTCCAGGAGGAACAGATTTGGAATTATACTAAATATTTCTTTGTTACAGATTTATTTTTATACAATAATGGTATAGAAAATGAGAAAGACTTACGCTGGGCCCTGTGAAAAGCATAATAAGATATAGACTCAGTCGGTCCCTTCAGGGAGCTGGGCATGTAAAGAATAATAGTATAACTAATGTCAGGCTACATGGTGAAGACTGAGTGTGCTGTTATGAACTGCAGGGGGTGGTATTATTAGGCAACATAGAGTAGAGACTCTTCAAGGAGATAGCTACTGAGTTGAGTATGGAAGGGTTTGAATAAATAAAAGAGAGCACTGAAAATAGAATCTAGTGCATACATTGGGACAGAGGAGAGGGAAAAGACAAGCAGAAACATGAAGTAGAAATTAGAATTATATTCCAAGAACCTGCGAGGATGACCCAGTTTACAAGGAAAAATCTCTGCAGCTTAAGTTGCTGATGGAAATAAGCTCAGGTTGGATATGGTTATTGTATCTTGAGAGTTCAAGATCCATGGAAATAAGAATGAAGTTGCTAGAGAGTATTGGGGAGAGGGGTATTTTATGTGTCAAAGTATCCTGACTACTGTCATGAATTAACATCTACTTGGTAATTTATAGTTGACAAATTTTTATTTTATTACCTAACTTAATTCTCACAACACTTGAGATGTCATCTTTATTTTTCAGATAAGAATGCTGACCCAAAGATGCTAACTGGCTTTAACTGTGCATAAACTGTGTGTCTTCTGACGTACATACAGCTCTTCACAATGAGAGCAATACTTCAAGATGCATGTTGTAGGATTCTACCCACTACAATGTGTAAGAAGAAAGACAAGGTAAGGAGACCATTGTTTAGAAACTTTGTCAGAGCAACGAGCAAATGGACTAAACAGTGGCAGTGGAAACATAAAGGAAAGGAGAATGAAGAAAAATTTCAAAGGAATAATCAGAGGAATTGGTGACTCATTGGATTTATGTGGAGAAGGCAAAGTGAGAATCAAAGATAATACCACGTGTGAAGACCTGAGTGAAAGAATGATGGTGCCATCTGCAGTAGCAGAGGAAAAGCTCCATTTGGCAAGTTTGGATTTGACTAACTTTGGATTGTTGGGGTAAAGACTGTCCATATTGTAATTTCTACATGTAGCAACAGTGAGTGCTCATTAATATATGTTCCACGGCTTAAAGAACAAATAATAATGTAAAGAAGGGGAATGGCTGAGAGTAACCAAGAATGGGGTAGTTACAGAAATGAAAACACAAATGTCAAGGATCAGGCCCAGGTGAATGCCCTCAGCTAGGAGAGGCAAAACAAAACAAAACAAAACAAAACAAAACAAAACAAAACCAACACAGGGGGAGGATTAGTGTCAGGAATAGAAGCATGGGAGGGTCTTCTGAATGTTTACAGTTCCTAGACTCATGAAAGAAGCTTTATTATTGTTCCACAAAAGTCTTTATATAGTTAGGCATCACTTCAACATTTTAGCAGATCATTGTCTACTAGGGTCCCATTGCTTTGGGTAAAGAGACTCCTCTTTCATCCATATGCTTACATAGTTTCTCATAACGCTAACTCACAGGACTGTTGGTTACAGTCATCTGGAGCATTGCTATATCTACAGATAGCTGAGACCCATTCCAGATTTCCTGAATCATACCTTGGAGGCACAGATAATGAATTTGCATCTTTACATGCCCCTAGGAGATTTTCTTGTATGCTACAATTTGAAATTTTAGTGTTGGACAGTAAAAGGTAAAATGACCAAGAGGAAAAAAATATGGCTAAAAATAACTACAATCTGAAATTAAAATCTTGATAGATTCCTGGTAACATGCTCAGCATTTGTGGGAACCTAAAAGGCAAAGCCACAATTTACAATGATATATATTTTAGAAAATACCCTGGGAAACCCTCCCCCCTTTTTTTTTTCAAACAATTTGGTTAAGTTAGCTCTGGTTTGCATCCATACTTACGGTTTCCATGTTGGATGGTAACTACAAAGCAACATAACATCTTCTTTGTGGTGAGTGATGGTTCAGGAGGCCAACATGCTGATATAACTTTGAGCTTTAAAAAAACTTCAGAATTTTCAATTCATATGCTTTCTCTTACCTTGCAGTTTTTAGAAGATGAACATGAAAAGACTGTCTGTTGTTTTGTAGTTATTTGAATTTTTAGGTCACTTCCATCGCCTTTTCCAACATCTGTATAAAATTAAAAAGATAGGCACACTAATGAGGAAACAATAAAATATTCTAGCTGGTTCAAAGTACCACACACAAGCATATAGTAAATGATGCAATGAACCTACGACTAGATGCAAATGGGCTAGTAGCCAATTGCATTCCACTGAACATATCCAGTTTGCATTTCTATGTAGAAAAGTTGTTTGCATTATCACTTTTCTACAACTTGCAGAGTAAAGAGCTCAAAGACAATGAAAGCTGGAAAGTGTGCAGTCAGACATTACCCATCTAAGAGCCTCTCACACTTTTTCTTCTCAGTCTCCCTAGCTCCTTTCTCTTGTTGTCACAACCATTTGAAAGATTATTTTTATTCAAAAATCATACTGATCCCAGTAAGTTTGGCCCGCTTATTTACACGGGTGCAGGACGAATTTTAACTTGTCCAACAGTCCTTCCTGAGTTGGTTTACAAGCTAAGACATGTGGAAAGCTGAACACCCAGGATCTTGGATCTCAGATTGTCTTTTATTTGTTTGTTTGAAAGGCAGAGTTAGAGAGAGACAAAGATCTTCCATCTACTGCTTCACTCCCACAAATGGTCACAACATCCATGGGTGGGCCACACTGAAGCCAGGAGCCTGGAACTCCATCTGAGTCTCCCTTGTAGGTACCAGGGGCCCAAGCAGTCAGGCCATCCTCTGCTGCTCTCAGGTGCACCCACAGGGATCTGGATTTGGAACAGCACTTAAGTGGAATGATAAAACTGTAGGCAGTGGTTTAGCCTTCTATGCCGCAATGCTGGCCCCTGAGATTGAGGTTTTCCAATCCTCTATTTCATGTTAGTCTGAGATAAGCAAATCATGCCATAAAATTCCACACAACTTCACCTACAATAACTTGAAGTTGTGAATTTGAGCAACTCCCTATTTTTTCCAGATCTGCACCTTACAGTTGTAAGCATTGTCTCTACAGGGTTTTTTTTTTTTTTTTAAAGATTTATTTTATTTATTTGAAAGACAGAGAGGTAGAGACAGAGAGACACCCGCTGGTTCACTCCCAGGATGGCCGCAACAGCCAGAGCTGTGCCAATAGGAAGCCAGGAGCTTCTTGCAGGTCTCTCACGTGGGTGCAAGGGTCCAAGAACTTGGGCCATCTTCTACTGCTTTCCTAGGCCATAGCAGAAAGCTGGATCAGGAGGAACATCTAGGACTAGAAACAGTGTCCATATGGGATGCTGGCACTTCAGGCCAGGGCTTTTAACCCACTGTGTCGTAGCACTGGCCCCTTCTACAAGGTTTAAATAAAACCCAAAGTGATATTAAGAAAGAAGACATAATCTTAGGATATAATATCCGACTGACACAAAAATTCCCAAATTTTTAAATGATTTTTAGGCTTTGAATTTTGAGAAACTATTTTATTCTCATTGTTCCTATGAGAGAAAGGTGTTAAAACTTCATTAGGCTGAAATGCCCGTGACTTCCCTGAAATGGTTTAAAACTCACAAAGATTTCTTTAGATGCCCTAGTACTAGTAAAGCTCATCTGTATATATCCACAAGCAAATCTTCCCAAAGAATGGGAACATTGTTGCTTCTGCCCAGTTTTTCAGTTATACAAAAACACTTACTATGAATTGAATAAATGATAATTTTGTATGGCGTGAGGATTTTTTTTGGCGGGAGAGTCCAGTTGCAGAGATTTTTCACATTCTCAAAATATCCAACATATCTACTCTGCAAAGAAACAAAAGCTTCAGGTTACATGAGGAAGAAAAGCTGAAAATCAGAAATTCCTATTGTGAGGGCAGGGCATAGAGCTTGGTAAGGGCAGTAAGAAATTAAGAAATCACTTGCTGGATTTTGTTATAAGACAGAGTGTTTTTATGTATGTGGCCTCAAAACTACCTTAGGAAACAATACTGAACTAAGTGCTTTGGGAGGAAACTAGAAAGGAATCAGGTCTGGCTTATAGGGTGCTTATAATTATGATTGTGTTTTAGACTACACCATTATCCATGTGTGGATAGAAGCAAGGATGTGACTGAGTTACGGGAAGCTTTGTGATTGGGTGAAGAATAGCCTATGATAATGGAAGAATGGTATTTGCAAACTCAGGAGGAGACCAACATCTCTCAGGTAGATTCTTGGTCATTTTTACCTTGCCTCTGCCAGCTAGAGTTTCTTTAATTATCATTTTCTCAGTTCTGTTGTTGCAAAGAAGTTCTGGAATTTTCTTGGTTTCATTCTTTCTGTGATAAACTTATTCACAAGGTCTGTCCTTGAGTCTTTCTTAAGGAAGTTGAACAGTTCTGGCACTGAACCAACAGGACTCAGAAGTTCACAGATTCTTCTTTCCCCATTGGGAAGTTTAATAAAATTAAGTGTTGTACTTTCTATGAGAAAGGGCAGCCATGAGATAGTCTCATGCAAGTTCTTAACTCAGGGATAGATGTAATGTGACCAGGAGACTGGCTCACTGGGAGGGTCAGAATGTGATGGTGTCTGGAGAATCATCACTTGACATAAAGGAACCTCTGCCCCAGGGCCTTGCCAAATCTGAAGTCTGCAGCTGAGTTCTTCTATTGCTATCCCAGTGAATCAGAAGACATTCAGGTGTAGCATATGGTGTGCTAGTTCTGGACTAAAGTCAGGATAACTGTGCAGGACTAAAGGAGAAATGGAGAAAGGGAGATGTATGGGGAGAGTCAGTGAAGGAGCTGCATTTCACATACCCTTGGCTCCTGCCACCAGATTCATAGCATGAAGATACACAGTGCTGACAAGCTGGGAAATAGCAAAGGGTCTTATTGTCTTAGAGCACAGGATATGTGACAGCACTTAATGAAGAAAAAATTTGAAAAATCAAATTGAAGAGGATTTTTTTTAACAGGCAGAGTGGACAGTGAGAGAGACAGAGAGAAAGGTCTTCCTTTTGCCGTTGGTTCACCCTCCAATGGCCGCCGCGGCTGGTGCGCTGCGGCCGGCACACCACGCTGATCCAATGGCAGGAGCCAGGTGCTTCTCCTGGTCTCCCATGGGGTGCAGGGCCCAAGGACTTGGGCCATCCTCCACTGCACTCCCAGGCCATAGCAGAGGGCTGGCTTGGAAGAGGGGCAACCGGGACAGAATCCGGCACCCTGACTGGGACTAGAACCCGATGTGCCGGCGCCGCAAGGCAGAGGATTAGCCTAGTGAGCCGCAGCACCGGCCGCAGAAGATCTTGAGAGCTAGGTTAGAACATATAGTTGCCATTGGCAGCAGGGAGCCATCATGGATTTTGAGCATGGAAATGGCGTGATAAAAGATGGACTTCAGTAGGTTGATGTATTACTTTTATCCAAGGGTGTATGTATATCTTGTTTTTTGTTTTCTTTGGCTTAGGTATGGGAGAAAAGTATTGGTGAGTAAAGGCTGAATTCTTTTGTCCTAACCAAAGATCTAGGGTGAGAAGTTACTGTGTGCTGCTTTCAAAGCCCAGTGTAGTTATTCAGTTGCCATCACTTCACTCAAAGAAAGTCTCTCATTTATAGCTACATTCACATCTCCCTAAGAGTCTCAATCAGCTCTCACTTTGGTTTTAGGGGGACAATAAATAGAAGCTGTTCACAGCATGGACTATACTGGGCTTCAGATTTGACAGATCTAGATTTGAGTTCTTGGTTCTAGTGGTTAATTTCTCTGAACTTCAATTTCATAATCTGTAAAATGGGATTCATAACAGTGCCTATTGAATTAGGTAATGAATATAAAACCCTTAGCATGTATCAATAAAGTCTAGACTGTTGTAAACTCTATCAGATAAATGTTTTGATTTCTGCAATAAACAAATCACAAGGAATAAAAATGAGATGGGAAACAGAAACAGAAAGAGACCTAAGAGAGGTAGCATCCAAATGATATGTATGGGCCTTGTTTGTATTGTAACTGAAACAAAGTTTTCTAAGTATCTTAGACAATTATGAAAATTTAAAAATAAACTCAAAATTTGAAATTATTAAGATTTTATAAGGCATACAGCATTTGATGTGATAAATGGTATTAAGATTTTTGGGTTCTCTTGAGACCTTATGTTAGATGTCATACCAAAATACTTGTGGGATAAAATGATCTCATGGGTGTAATTTCCTTCAGAATAACCCAGGTTTGGTGAAACAGAGTGGAATAGGGTTGAGGAATTTGGATAGAGAGGGGAGAGAATGAATAAACCATGATTGGTTAGTTATGAGATAAAGTGGCATGTTGAGTAAAAATGGATTTGTTGTATAATTGTCTTTTTTGCATATGTTTGAAAATTTCCATAATCTTTTTAAAAGGAAAAAATTCAGCAATCTCCACATAAATATTATAAATCCTAAATGAAATAGTTTTAAGTTTAGAAGCATTTGGGGTATATTAGAGGTTTTGAAAAGTGTTTATTTTCCTTTTTCTTTTTTTTTTTAAATTGACAGAGTTACAGACAGTGTGAGAGAAAAAGGTCTTCCTTCCATTGGTTCACTCCCCAAATGGCTGCTATGGCCGACGCTGCGCTGATCTGAAGCCAGGAGCCAGGTGCTTCTTCCTGGTTTCCCATGGGTGTGCAGGAGCCCAAACACTTGGCCCATCCTCCACTGCCCTCCTTGGCCATAGCAGAGAGCTGGATTGGAAGAGGAGCAACTGGGACTAGAACCCAGTGCCCATATGGGATGCCGGCACTATAGGCGGAGGATTAACCAAGCGAGCCATGGTGCCGGCCTCTATTTTCTTTTTTCTTTAACCATCAAAATATAGACATTCCTTCTCCCTCCCCAACCACTCTCACAAGGAAATCATCTAGAAATAGTTCTCATGATTCTCTGAGAGGGCAACATTGCCGCAGGAGGGGTTTGTGAAAGACTCAGTTCCTCTTCTATGGGGAAATCAAAGGCAACTGATAAGCATTAGGGGCCTGGAATCTTAGGTATTAGACTTGCCTATTACAGGAAAGTAATCAACTGCTGAACTCTGTACACAACAACAAATATCAAATGCTCTAGGGAGGACCCACTGCTCCTCAAGCATGGGCAGCGACTGAGGTATAGGTTTTGGTCCTGAGGAGGAGTTAAAGCCTGCTGCAGGGCACCCAAGGGCCACTGCCTGATATCCAACAGAGAAGAGTCTAAAGTGAAACCATGTGTCGGGCTAATCTTAACCCACTCCCCCCAAAGAAGTGCCCCTTTAAAAAGAAAACTTACTTGGGAGGGAGTTTCAATTCCTTGGAATTTACTACTGATGGTGTGATCAGTACGTCGACTTGCAAAATAAGCAAGACTTTCCTATAGAAAAGGAGCAACACAACAATGGTTCATCTGCAATCTTCCCTTTCCCATAGTAGATGTGTTTTAAGTTTCTAAGGACACATTATTTCCTTAAGGGGGAGCATTCTGTGAAGAGAGGCTACTCAAAATAACAGTATTAAAAAGGCTACATCAAAGATATGTCTCATTCAAAGATTCCTGCATACATGGACTTTCAGAACTAGAATGCCCTTAGAAACTATTTGGTCCAACTCTTCTTTCTACCTTCCAATATACAAATGAGAAGACTGAGATGAAAAGAAAATGAAATTGTAACCCACATTAATAAACCCATGATATACACACAGACTTGGGCATACACACACACCCATCAAACATTGATATTTTCTAATCTCCATTTTAGAAGTGAAACACTACTCAGTAAGTTGCTTTTACAACTCACTGAAACATAATGATGTATGACTTAAAGAAACACCTATTTTCCAAACTTGTGTATCTTAGATTATAAGACAGAAGTGGCTAGAGAGCTGTTTTTTTTTCCTTTTTTTTAAATTTAGTAAATATAAATTTCCAAAGTACGGTTTATGGATTACATTGGCTTTCTCCCCCATAATTTCCCTCCCACTCGCACTCCTCCCATCTCCTGGAGAGCTGACTGTTGTGCATAACCCTCAGCTCCTCTTCTCTCTACTGCAGGCCAGCAGACCAGAGCTGCTGGAAGTAGGGACTTAAGTGGCAGCTTCCCAAAAATATGGCAGCAAAATGAACCCTGCTTTAAGACATGGGAACAACTCACCTTCTCTTCTCAGCAATTTCCAGATTACAGTTATTATGTATATTGACTTTGCAAAAATAGTAATTAACCATGAGAGACTCTGAGTGGGAAAGCAAGGCCTTTTATGTATATACAGCAATTTTAAGGATAGCCAAGGTCCTCTGCAAAATGCATCTAATTAATCTGAATATTATTCTCATGAGGAAGTCCTGCAACGCTTTGCATTTGTATAACTTGGCTTTACTGACCTCACTTAATCCTGCTCCTATTGGGTCCCACTTGTATTTAAAAGATTAATAGTGTATACATCATGATATTTTGCATTCGTTTTTATTTTTAAAATATTGATTTAACATTATTTATGCTAACTACTGAGATTTTTTATATTCCCTTAAATTTTATGCCTCACACATTTTACCCTAGTCCTTGTCCAGGGTAAGAAGTAGTCATTTACTAATTTCATAGTGGATATGAAACAAAGGAGGAGCCAACCAATACTTTTTAATGACCCACTCTCCAGTTACAGTTTCACTTAACCATTGGGACTCAGAGAGTCACCATAACATCCTAGCAGTGATAGTTCAGAATTGGCGATTTCAGTAAGCACAAGACAGATTGTAGTAACATGTTTCATACCTTTGCAGTACCAAAGATCTGATTACCAATGAGGCAAGCACAGACCATTGTCCCAGTTCTTCCTAGAAAAGAAAAGTTAGTTTAAGAAGCTAGTTCATGGTAGAACTTAGTATGAAAATACACTCAGAAGTATCCAGAGTGTGTTTTTGATTGACTTTTTTACACCCTGAATGTGCTTGTCACAAATAGTTTAGTAATAGCCAAGATATTTCGCTGTTTTATGGTTGTATCTGGAATTTGGTTCTGTAAATGGACATGATACACTTGTGCACATGTGTACTTGTCTTGAATCACAGATGCTGGGAAACACACTGGAGGCAGTCAGTTCTGCCTAGGACTCCAAGCCTAAAGCCTCACTTGCTAATTAGGAACTAATTCTACACTCTATGATCCATATAACATAAATAAAAGTATCTATAAAAGTTAAAAATAGCGGTCAGAGTTGTGGCACAGCAGGTTAAGCTAGTCCATTTCAGATCCAGCTCCTTGCTAATGAGTCTGGGGATTTAGCAGATGACCAAAGTACTTGGGCCCCTGCCACCCATGGGGGAGACCCAGAAAGGGTTCCAGGCTCCCAGTTTCAGCCATCCCCAGTCCTGGTCATTGTGGCCATTTGGAGAGTGAACCACTTGATAGAAGATCTCTCTGCCTCTCCCTCTCTCTTTCTGTGCCACTGCCTTTCAAATAAAGTAAACATTCTTTTAGAAAAAGAATAAAACCAGGATCACAACTCAAAATGGCTTTTAGCATTTGCAATACTCATTGTTTCTTCCATAGAGTATTTAATTGTAGTACAAAAGTTTTTAAACATATGAAAGCATACAGAACAGGATAGTGAACCCTCGTGTACTTTTCCTGATTTTGTAGTTACTGATATTTGCTGAACTTGGTTACTTTCCCTCTCCTCTTTCCTCGCTTCTCTCCTACCCCTCCCCTCTCCTCTATCCTCTATCCTTTCTTCTTCTGTGCCATCTCCTTTCTTTTCCACTGTTACATTTTAAAGCAAATCCTTGACCTTATGCTTCATGTCATTTATCCTCAAAATTTCTCGAGTTTTATTTGAATTTCTATTTTTCATCTGCCATACAAAATTTAACTTTAAAAAGATGTTGTTTCCTGGGGGCCACCGTCCAGGGCACAGGTAGCCACTGCGCTGCGGGGGCACCTGGCGTCTGGGGCTGTGATGCGCTCTCCTGAGGACTGGCGACCGGGCCAGCTTCCTGGGTGCTGCCATGGAGGAGTTGTAGTCAGTTCTCAGCCTGGAGCCTCCCCTGAGTCAGGAGACACTTTCAGACCTATGGAAACTGCTTTCTGAGTACAACCTGCTGACCACCTTGCTGAACCCTCCCTTGGATGATCTGCTGTCCACTAAAGATGTTGCCAACTGGCTCAACGAAGACCCAGATGAAGGGCTCTGAGTACCAGCAGCTCCTGCACCAGAGGCCCCCACCCCAGCTGCCCCTGGGCTGGCGACCCCTGCACCAGCCACCTGCTGGCCCCTGTCATCCTCTGTCCCTTCCCAAAAGACCTACCACGGCAACTCCAGTTTCCGGCTGGGCTTCCTGCACTCTGGGACGGCCAAGTCTGTCACCTGCACGTACTCCCCCTGCCTCAACAAGCTCTTCTAGCAGCTAGCAAACACCTGCCCTGTGCAGCTGTGGGTCGACTCAACACCCCTGCCTGGCACCCGTGTGCGGGCCATGGCCATCTTCAAGAAGTCTCAACACATGAAGGAAGTTGTCAGACACTGCCCCCACCACGAGTGCTGTTCCGATAGTGATGATCTGGCCCCTCTCTCAGCATCTCATCCGGGTGGAGGGAAATCTGTGTGCTGAGTATTTGGATGACAGAAACACCTTCCGACACAGTGTGGTGGTGCCCTATGAGCCACCCGACATTGGCCCTGACTGTACCACCATCCACTATAATTACATGTGTAACAGCTCCTGCATGGGGGGCATGAACCGGTGGCCCATCCTCACCCTCATCACACTGGAAGATTCCAGGGGGAACCTGCTAGGATGGAACAGCTTTGAGGTGCGAGTGTGTGCCTGTCCTGGGAGGGACCACGGCACAGAGGAAGAAAATTTCCTCAAGAAAGGGGAGTCCTGCCCTGAGCTGCCCCCCGGGAGCTCTAAGCAAGCACTGCCAACCACCACCACCGACTCCTCTCCCAAGAAAAAGAAGCCACTTGATAGAGAATATTGCATCATTAAGATCCGTGGGCGTGAATGCTTCAAGGTGTTCCAAGAGCTGAATGAGGTCCTGGAGCTCAAGGATGCCAAGGCCAAGAAGGAGCCCTGGGGGAGCAGGGCTCACTCCAGCTGCCCAAAGGCCAAGAAGGGGCAGTCTACCTCCTGCAGTAAAAAACTAATGTTCAAGAGAGAGGGGCCCAACTCAGACTGAGGTCTCACCTTCTGACCACGTTGACGACCCCCATGCCCTCCTACCTTGACATTTTGGGACTCAGGTGCTTGAACCCTACTTGGTAGAGGTATGCCTCAGAACTCCCAGGAATTCTTCCACTTGCCTTGGCCTGCACTGGTGGTATTGGGGGGAGGAAGGGAGGGGTAGTGGGAGCTAGGATGGGCCAGCCTTAGCTTTTAGAATTTTGACTGTGAGGAATGTTTGGGGGGAAAAATGCTCTGAGAAGCAGCCCTAGGCTGGGTGGGAAGCCCAGCCCTCCTGCTGTGCTGAGCAGGGATGTGGCCACAACTTCATGAAATGCTGATCATGCCTACCTCACAGGGTCTACTGTGAGGATTAATGAAATGCTGTGTGGCTGTCCTGGAAAGCACCCTTTATTATAGGGTGGCTGGGATGTGGCACCCTCATGGGAGCTGGTTCCCTGCCCTCCTGCTGGCTGGGTTGACAGCTTCACTGGTTGGGCACCTGGTCTACGCTGGTGCAGCCAAATCCTGCCCAGCCTCTTAGTGACAATGGCACCTGAAAGAAGTCCTGCCCTAACCTACGCCTGGAGGATTCCATCTCATGTACCATTTGCATCTACTAAGACCTTTTTCACTTTCCCCACAATGCTCAGGGTCAATTTCTTTTGCACCTTGCAAGGCACATCTGCATTTGTCACCGCCAGTCCTCTTCCCTTTTTATATCCCCTTTTTATATCGGTTTCTTATTTTACAATAAAACGTGAGTACCATCCTGTGTCTCAAAAAAAAAATAAAAATGTTTGCTTAATTACTGTAGCTTTTTACTTAGTACACACTGAACCTAATTACTTAATGTAATTCCAAACTTATTTTTACCTGAGATGCACAGAATTTTCTATCATTTTAAAAATGTTTAATGAACCGCTAAATTGCTTTCTCAGTCTGTCATTGCAAACACTATTCTAAGCCAGGTACTTCCAAAGAGGAGTTTTTCCACCTTTTGCATGAAGTTTCCTGAAAAGGAGGCTACTGATCAACAGCTTGGTTGGCTCCTGACTCCAGCTTCCTCCTAATACAGACTTTTGGAGGCAGTGGTGATGGCTCAAGTAATTTGATTTCCTGCCATCCACATTGAGAGACCAGCACTGTATTCCTGGCTCCTGGCTCCTGGCTCCTGGCTACTACTGGGGCTGATGTTCTGAGTATTTGGGGAATGAACCAGCAGATGGGAGTGCCAGTGCTCTCTTTGTCTCTCCCCTCTAATATAATAATACTAAAAAAAGAGCTACCAACAATAATCTAATAATTTGGTACTTTGAAAAGATTGATAAAATTGAAAAATCCCTGGTGAAACTAATCAAAGAAAATAGAGACAAGGCATCAAGAAAGCTACATAGGGAATAAAAAGGGGAGCACACTCTAGATATTAGAATAGTAAGATTATATGTTGAACAATTTGATGCCAAGACATTTGAAATTGTATATAAAATGGACAAATGCTTGGGAATATACAACTAACTAAAATAGATACAAGAAATAGTTTTAAACAATCCTATATCTAACAAAATCTGATTTACAACTTGAAAACATCCACAGAGAAAACTGTAGGTTGATGTGGGTTCACTAGGGAGTCCTAGCTTACATTTAAGGTAAAGAAAAAAAAATAATAACCAAGTTAAACAGACTTGGAGAATAAAAAAGAAAGGAAATGCAGCCTAGCTTATTTTGTGAAGCCAACAGTTGAAATTAACATTATGAGGGAAACTAAAAAAAGAATATCCAATCATACCCATGGCCCGGATACAAGAACTGTAAACCAAACTATCAACAGAATCTAGCAGCTTTCTATTAAGAAGGTAATATAAGTACCACGTGCTAACCGAATGCATCACTCCCACCATGATGCCATCTATCATGCTGTGATGCAACCAAGCAGCTTTACCAGGGCCCAAACACATGGGGTTGCCTGATCCTGGACTTTCAGCCTTCAAATTTGTGGTCTAAATAAACCACTTTTATTATAAAGTACCCAGCCTTCGGTATTTTTGCTACCACAACAGAAAATGGACTACAAAAACCACTGTGAATATAAAGTATAAAATATTATTGAAGGGCCAAATGATTCAAATAAATAGATAACCTAGTTGTCAGTTCTCCCAAATTAATAAATTCAGTTCCTTTCCAATGAAAATCCTAAACATATTGTGAAAACGGACAAAATTATTCTAAAATTGAATGTAAGAATCAAGTTGTAAGAAGAACCAAAGGGTCAGGGAAAAGATGGCAGCTTAGAAACAGGAAAATCTGGGCCGGCACCGTGGCTCAACAGGCTAATCCTCCACCTAGCAGCGCCGGCACACTGGGTTCTAGTCCCAGTCGGGGCGCCGGATTCTGTTCCGGTTGCCCCTCTTCCAGGCCAGCTCTCTGCTGTGGACTGGGAGTGCAGTGGAGGATGGCCCAAGTGCTTGTGTCCTGCACCCCATGGGAGACCAGGAAAAGCACCTGGCTCCTGCCTTTGGATCAGCATGGTGCGCTGGCCGCGGCGGCCATTGGAGGGTGAACCAATGGCAAAAGGATGACCTTTCTCTCTGTCTCTCTCTCTCATTGTCCACTCTGCCTGTCAAAAAAAAGAAAAAAAAATAAACAGGAATATCCAAGTCACATGGGGGCAAAATAGGTAGTTAAAAGGGAGAGAGGTTACATGCAGGAGATAGAACTGCGGGAAATTTACACCGGGAAACCCAGTTGGCCAACACAGACTGGGCAGGTACATGCTGAAAGGGAAAATAAGAAGGAGAAACAGAGGAGACGCAGCATGCACAGGTTGTCGGGGTGGAGGGTGCCAGTCCCCAGTGGATCAGGTTAGGTGGAATTAGGTGTCCATGGAGCTGGGAGTAGCAGCAGGAGGAGGAGATAGGTGAACTGCTTTTGAAGTTCCAAGAGGGGAAAAAAAGAGAAGGTATAAAAAAAGCAAACAGATTGGTACTATGCTGTCCGACCCCTTTTCCCCCTGCCCATCCAGACCTGCAGCTGGCCCACAGAAGCCATCTTTAATGTTTACATTCTCGAACATAGACCTTGGCCTACCAGACACACAAACATCAACTGTGGGAGCCATCCCACGACACCTCCCACACAGGAGCGATGTCCACACTATCTCAGAGGAGACTCTTCCCCACCATGCAAGTCAGGCAACAAGGAAACTCGAGCCCATGAAATCCATCATTGAGAACTCATCTGGGTCTCAGAAGGTGGGGCTAAGTGCACCACAGCTCACACCCAACTCCACCATGATTTACAGGTGAACAGGGCTCCAGTAGATAGTGCTCTGTGCTTCCACTTGAAACGCACACAGAGCAGCACATAACAGAAATCTCACAAGAGAAATTCTGTAAGTTTATAAATATTTGTGTGTAATATATATTTATACACACATATGCTGAAAACAAAGCTAAAACCTGAAATAAGAATAAGGAAGACAATATGAGTCCCCCAAAGGAACATTACAACTCTTCACTAATAGAAGCTGCAGATGAAGTGAGTGAGGATATGTCAGTTCCTGAAAGGTGAGATAAGGCTGAGAGGGATTAGAAATTAATAGAGAATAAAATAACATGCAGTAGATGGTGTTAGAACAATGGACTATATGTATAGAAAAAGAAATACATCCATTTCAATTTTTAAAATTCCAATATTAAGGGGCTGGTGCTGTGGTACAGCAGGTAAAGTCACTGCCTGCTGCTGTTGGCATACCATACGGGTTAGAGTCCCAGCTACTGTACTTTAATCCAACTCCCTACTAATGAGCCTGGGCCCCTGCATCCATGTGGGAAACCCAGAAGCAGCCCTGCCTCCTGCCTTTGGATCTGCCCAGCTATGGCCATTGCAGCTAAATGGGGAGTAAACCAATGGGTAGAAGGCCCTCCCCATCTCTCCTGTCTGTAACTCTGCCTCTCAAATAAATAAATCTTTAAAAAAATTCTAAATTTTAAACCTTACTCATATTGTTTGATAGTAAGATGAATCTGTTTTATACTTTAATATACATTTTGAATTTCTTTAGAAAAAAAGAAAAAATGCTATTACCTTTGCCGCCTTTGCAGTGAATCACTACTACGTTCTTCTTGTCTTGAGCCAGCCACATATTTACTTCTTTGGAGAATACCACCATCTCGCTGATTTTAAAAGTTAGACTTTTAGTTGAATTAAAATATTTCCAAAACAATAAAGCCCAGTGTATCTGGCCCTCTTCTCACAGCCAGTGTTGCATAAAAGTTACCTGAGAGTAGGGACATTATGATCATCAATCATGATTCTTTGGACTCTGTTATGAAAATGTTCAGGATTATAAGCTCTTTCACCTAAAATAAATCATACAGATGTCATATTTTCATAACTAATAACATAATAAATGATGAGTTATGAACATGTTAAAGTTTTCTATTGAAATTCCTTATCAAAAGGAGTTTTCTGGCCGGCGCCGCGGCTCACTAGGCTAATCCTCCGCCTAGCGGCGCCGGCACACCAGGTTCTAGTCCCGGTTGGGGCGCCGGATTCTGTCCCGGTTGCCCCTCTTCCAGGCCAGCTCTCTGCTGTGGTCAGGGAGTGCAGTGGAGGATGGCCCAGGTGCTTGGGCCCTGCACCCCATGGGAGACCAGGAAAAGCACCTGGCTCCTGGCTCCTGCCATCGGATCAGCGCGGTGCGCCGGCCGCAGCGCGCCGGCCGCGGTGGCCATTGGAGGGTGAACCAACGGCAAAGGAAGACCTTTCTCTCTGTCTCTCTCTCTCACTGTCCACTCTGCCTGTCAAAAAAATAAAAAAAATAAAACAAACAAACAAACAAAAAAAAAAACAAAAGGAGTTTTCTGAGTGGCTCTAGCTGCTCTAAAAAAACTTGAGGGCCTCAAAAACATAAAAAAATTAGTGACTTATTCTATGGATAAGTTACTGATCCAACTGACTTTTGAATAGCCTTTACTTTAACTTTTTAGCAGATAATTCATTATACTATTGTAAGATAGTTGAAAACAATGGGGCAAAGGCAGTGTAACTGGCCAAAATTCTTTCCCTTGCAAAATGTCCATTTAATAAACAAATAGAGGAAAAACTCAGGAGAGACAAGAGTGGTAACTTAAGGATATCATTTGTTAATATTCTTTAAAGGTTTAGTTTCTTTTTTTAAAATTTTAGTCTACTCTGTAATCACAGGGGTAATTCACCACTAACCATAGTATGCAACAAGTAAAAAGAAGACAACAGTTCCACAGGAGTATAAACAAGGACTAAAAATGACAATCCTCCCCACTCCCACTTAGTACACTGCTGTCATCACAACTCACTCCTAGTGGATAGAGAATTCCTTTTTTTGGTCTGTGTCCTCAATGCAGTGTTCCAGGGAAAATAGAAAGTTTTCTTAACCCTAAAACCACTGGAGTAGACCAAACCTCCACTTCTGCCTCTTGGGTTCTAACAGGCTTGTCTCTGTTGAAGGGCACCCACTGAGCTCAATCTTCCTATTAAATGTACCTGAGCAAGATCAGTATTTTTGAACTCACTCTCCTCACTGCCACCAAATGCTTATGATTAAATGACAAGTAGAAATGAAATTGTCTTCTTACATTCATAATTGTTTTCTATCTATAGTAGCAAAATATCAAGTCATGTACATACTGCATAGATTGTAGACTCGGTAATGGTTTCGATGTTTGGTATCCAGGAACCTCACAACTTCCTAAAAGAGACAGACACATATCTTACTATCCAGCATAACCTAGGAATGACCCAGGAGTTAGTTATATAAACATGATGGCTGTTACTTTTTGGCTCTCACTCATGCTTCTAGAAGAGATTCATAGAATATGAAGGTACATGTAGTCCAAGTCATGTCTAACCCATGGATGGCTTTCATACAGTTAACCAGTGTGCTTGGCTACTCAAATTATTCTCTACTCCAAGTAAGCATTGTTTACTGCCACTAGAGGAGGAAACTGGCTGGTTAGCTAGCTTTATTTTATTTATTGTCCAAATTCTTAATTCCCAGTTAACATATAGTTCTTATTTAAATTAATTCTGAATAGATATCATTTCGATAATGAACTGATTATTATGGTCTAAGCATTATATAAATAAATAAAAGGCAAAGTATATAGTATTACTCTGTATATGCATAAAATGATAGATTTTATCAAATTTTAGAAAAGTCATAGCTATATGAAGACATTTTGGTTCATTTCTTTTAAAAACTAATATAGGTCTGTGTGTATATATAATTTTAAAAATACTGGCTATTACTTAAAATACAGCAAAAACTATCTGATATAATCCATTATGATGTTTTACGTTAGAGAGTAAGATTTCAGAGAAAGACTGACAAACCTGGGTCAACAGTAAACTATGACTCCACATCTGTGTTCACTGAAAATTGAGTATTTATTAGATAAAAACTCTTACCTTAATTGGATTCCTGTAGAAAGACTGCTTTCCAGAAGATGGAAATGACATGGCGATAATGCGATCTAAAAAATCACGATAATCACTATTATGAATGTGATTATAGATGTGGAACAATATATGAAAATAATTTAAGTATGTTTAGACTTTTGTTACAGAAAAGAACTTTCAAGGGGTTGGCATAGTGGTATATTGGGTTAAGCCGCTTCCTGTGAGGCAGACATCCCAGATGGGTGTCAGTTTGAATCCCAACTGTTCATCCAGCTCCCTACTAACATGCCTGGGAAAGCAGCAGAAGATAGCTCAAGTACTTGAGTTTTTGCCACCTATGTGGGAGACCCAGATGAAGCTCCTGGCTCCTGGCTCCTGGCTCCTGTCTTGGGCCTGGCTCAGCCCTCACCAGTACAGCCATTTGGGGAGTGAACCAGTGAATGGCAAATATTTCTCTGTCTCTTTCTCTCTCTCTCTCTTTTTCTTTCTCTCTGTTCCCCTCTCCCTGTCACTGTAACTCTGCCTTTCAAATACAATAAAGGAAACTTTGAAAAAAACTTTAAAGGTTGAGGTTGACAGAAAAAAGCTATCCCAGACACAGGATAACCAAGAGAATATACTAAATTACCCAGTGTAATGACCAGTTAAATGTCATGGTGTCCTAAGACTCAGTTGATTCTAGTAATATGCCAGAGTTGTGTTGAGCTCATTCTGGAGCACCTCGTTAAGCACCAAAGGAAAACTGAGAGGTCTGGGTTCTGGTGATTGTGGGAACTTCCAGGGTTTCAACACTCCTGACTCAGAAGACTTTTAAGACCTGCAATGCAGTGGCCTCCATCTCTGGTATTCTAAGAAGAGAAGAGGACTCTCTGGATCTGTAAGACCCAAGAGAACTATCCGAACTCAATAAATTCTCAAGAAACTGAAAATCATTCAACTTTCTCTAGAGCAGTCAAGTATCCCTGATTTGGTATGATGTGGAGAGCTTCCATTGTGAGAGTTAAACTACAGATATGTCATACCATCTCACTGGCATATGTCTTTGTGGGGGGAAAAATGGAAGAATATGGCTTAGAAAAAGCAAAAGCAAAATAAAAATTTGCACACAAGAAAAGTAGGACAATGTAAGTAAATCAATAGCTAAGCTTAACAAACCAGTTATGTAAGTGAGATCTAGGTCAAATCCATCTCTCCTGTATCGCCTTTTGTTTTCTGAAACCTGAGAGTTCAAAACAATAATTAACTTGTCAAACACAAATCAACTTAGAAGTGAAGAACATTATATAGGTATCTACATCCCTTGCCATTATGTCCCAAAACACAAGTTTTGCCCACTCACCAGTCTTCTGGTCAGCTTTTGGAGTTGTCTGTTTTGGTAAGCCAGATGGAAAACTCTTACCAAAATTATAAGGCGTAGAGGTCGAAGCAGAACGGCCACCCTAACAAACATTTAAAAGATACATTTTTTGTTTTAGAAACAAGATTTTATCCGGATAGACAAAGTTTGGAGCAGTGGTTCTTAACCAGGGGCACTTATGCCACCTGCCCCTGGCCATCCTGGCATGATCTGGAGACATTTGGGATTGTCACAGCTGCTGGTATGGGGTGCTACTCACATCTAGTAGATAAATGCCAAGATTGCTGCCAAATACCATACAATAAATAAAATTTCCCCCTTCCCCCTAACAAAGAATTATCCAACTTAAACTGCCCATAATAATAAAGTTGAGAAATTCATCCTAGAAAAGTGATAATAAGTTCTTAGAATTTGTTTATTCAACATTTACAGTTGAAGAAATTTTCAAGTTTTCCCCAGCAAAACAAGCTTATTATTCAACAGTTATTCCCATCAGTAACATAGGTTCACTACCACTGCGAATGAACATCAAACATACAACAAATTGACACCCTTCCCAAGTGGGCTATCCGGGAACTAATATTCCGGACTAATACTTTTCTAACTTGGGCACACATAAATGCATCACCTGAAAGAGCTTGTTTAAAGATAGCTTGTTTGGGTCCCAGAGATACAGATTTAGTAGGTATGGAATTGGGACCAAGGTATTTTTCTCCTAGCTGCTCAGGTTTCTTATTGAAGACCACATTGGCTTATGCTATTTTCTTTTTTTTAAATTTTATTTGAGCTGTACAATTTTCATGTATTTCATATATACAGATTTAAGAACATAGTGGTCCTGCCCACCCCCACCTGTGGCTCATGTTATTTTCAAACAACTCCAAAGCCTAACACATAACACAGTTAATTGGGTCTGAATTGAAGCCAAGGGAAGCTGGAATACAGAAGAAAGTCAGCTATTTGACTAATGGATAAGCCTGGTGAGCTCCCACCCACTATATGTACATCCCAAATCATATTTGCTTCTGTTCCTCATTGCTCCAGTAGAAAAAATTAATTGCCTAATCCTGAACAGTTTTAACTTTGCCTCAGCTTTCCTAATTTCTACAATAACTATACTGCAAAACTACCTCTGCATTGCTATCCACAACACTTACTATTTTTCTGTTTTGTTTGCTGTTCTTTGAGACTCATGATTAAAGTTATTTGAATTTTGCCTATGCTAAAATGAAAGGTTGAAGTGCATGGAAATTTATCTAAGATTTCTTTTTTAAGTAGCTTATTTGGTACAGAATCAGAATATTCCAAGTTGAAAAGACTATGTGGAATAATTACCACAGAAAATAGAAAAAGGAAAAGAAAAAACTGAGAGATATATCATATGTTTCATACCTTGGTACGTCTTTCAGAAATCTTAGGTCAAAAAAGAAGTAAATGGTATCGATCAAGAGAGTTATTGCAATAATGACAGCATCTAAGATGTTAAATAGATCAGTAAAATATGTCTTCCTCCTGCAATATAAAAAAAGTTTGTCCCTCACAAGATAGGAATATTTTAAAAGTACATATTATTTGACTCATTGCCATTAAACATTCTCCTTTCAATAATTATTTAAGATGAAATTTCTAGATTCAACTTTGATAAAAATGAAATGTGAATGGAAATTTTACATATAGGAAATTTATATTCATTAATAGATTCATATGTATAACTAAAGCTTTACTATGGCAGTTTCAGTGTAGTAAGAGATAGAGGAGAACCACAGAATAAGAGGTAAGCATTGATTTCATGTGGGTGACAGAAGAAATGTGGGATATTGGGCAGTACTATTGGGAAATGGAAGTTGAATATGTCACACTATTAGAGCACCTGGAGCCGTGAGGAGTTATAACAGAGAAGCTTATGAGATGAAGAAGCATCCACTATTTAGACCTGCAAACTCACATTCTGGCTCTGAACCCACACTGGAATACCAGCAGGCTTCTGTAGCCTCCTTTAGGCAAAGATGAACTCCATTCACCACAGCTTCCTCCTCAAAGTGGCTCCTTCAGACATGGGCATTTGTTCTCCAGGAAATGCTCTTTCTGAGTCAAGGAGGCCCCTTTCAGGGTCTGAGAAACCTGATTTTGGGCAACTCTGCTTAGTTCAATGGAATGAGGATGGGGAGTCAACAGAGGAGACAAACTGCCTTCTGAGACCTCTAGATGAAAGGAGGCTGGAGAACTTAGTTCTTGACTCCCCTATTGGTCATGTCCAAGGCTTGGCTCATACCACACACCTTCTCAGAAAGCTGGCAGAGAAAAAGTGACCACTGCTTCACTACCAAGGCCCTCTAATGGGATGAGCATGCTTCATGTCTCCTCTTCACCTCACTAAAATTTGCATTCTTTTTTTTTTATAGATTATTTATTTGAAGGGCAGAGAGTTACAGAGAGAAAGAGAAGGGGAAAGAGCGAGTGAGAGAGATCTTCTGTCTGCTGATTCACTCTCCTAAATTGCCCAAACAGCTAGGGCTCTGCCAGGCCAGAGCCAGGAGCTTCCTCCAGGTCTCCCACATGGGTGCAGTGGCCTAGGGACTTGGGTCATCTTCCACTGCTGTCCCAGGTGCATTAGCAGAGGACTGGACTGGAAGTAGAGCAGCCAGGATTCTAACCAGTTGCCATATGGGATGTCGGCACTGCAGGTGGCAGCTAAACCCACTGTACCACAGTGCCAGCTCCAAAATTTTCATCCTGAGATAAGACACAGGGTGATTTATGATTTATTGTCTAGTACTTAGTATACTGTTAAATGTCATTTATGATTCAGTTATTTTTTAAATATTTTTTCGAATGGCAGAGTGACAAAGACACATAGAAAGAGACAGAGACAGAAAGAGAGAGACAGAATGTTTCATCTTCTGGTTCACTCCCCAAGTGATAGCAATGGCTAAGAGTGGGCCAGGCCAAAGGCAGTAGCCGAGAACTCCATCTAAGTCTTTCATGTGGTGGCAGGACCAAATACTTGGGCCATCTTCCACTGCTTTCAGAGAAGTATTATCAGAGAGCTGGATCAGAAGTGGAACAGCTGGGACTCAAACTGTTTCTCTGACATGGGAGGCTGGCATTGCAAAGTGGCAGCCTAGCTCACTGAGTCAGTGCCAGCACCATGAGTCAACTCTTAATAAAGGTACCAATATTTGTACTTCATATACATGTTCTTATTTCTGTGTAACTTTGCCTTTCAAATAAATCTTTTTTGGGAATCTGAATTTTTCTGTGGACTTCATTTACTTCCTTACATATTCTAGATATTAATTCTCTGTCAGATATATAGTTTACAAATCTTTCTCCCATCTCTTCACTATGATGATTGTTTCTTTGACCATGCAGAAGCTTTTTTGATTAATAAAATTCCATTTATTTATTTTTGCTTTTGTTGATTGTACTTTTGTGGTCTTATCCAAAAACCCATTGCCTATATTGATGCCTTCAAGTGTTTTTCCTATGATTTCTTCTAGGTGTTTCACAGTATCTGGCCTTATATTTAGATTGATCTGTATTGAGTTGATATTTGTATAGGGTGAGAAGTAGGGAAGGGTGATACTTTAATCTTTTGTCTATGGATATTCAGCTTTCCCAGCATCATGTATAGAGGAGATTGTCATTTTTCCATGGTATATTTTTGGTGACTTAGTTGAGAATCAGTTGGTTATAGATGTGTGGATTTAATTTTGGGATCCCTGTTCTGTTTCATTGCTCTATGTATCCTTATGCCAATACCATGATATTTTGGTTACTATCATTTAATATTATGCTTGTGATGCTTTAAGTTTTGTTCTTTTTGTTCAAGATTACTTTGGTTATTTGGAGTCTTTTGTGCTTTTATGTGAATTTTAGGATTTTTTCTAGTTATGTAAACAATGGCATTGGGTATTTTGATGGCGATTATACCATCTTATACGATCTTAACTCTTGCAACCCACAAATATGGGACCTCATTCTTTGTACGTGTGTGTGTGCTTCAATTTCTTTTATCAGTGTTTTATAATTGTCATTGTAGAGGTGTTTCTCATCCTTGGTTAATTTTACTCCATGATGCTTTCTTTAAAAAATTGATATGCATGATTGTTTTTATGATTTCCTTCTCAGCAAGTTCATTATTGGTATATAACAAGACTGCCAGTGGATCAGGCATTGTGGTGCAGCAGTTAAGGAACCGCTTGGGACACCCACATCCCATATTGGACTGCCTGGTTTGAATCCCAGCTTCTGTTGCAGCTTCCTAATGTGCCTGGGAAGGCAGCAGATGATAGCTCAAATACTTAGGCCCCTATCACCCATGTGGAAGACAAAGATGAAGTTCCTGGATTCTGTCTTCAGCCTGGCCTAGTCCTGGCCTAGACATGGCCATTGGGGGAGTGAACCAGCAGGTAGAAGATCTTTCTCTGTCTCTGCCTTTTGCTCTCTTTCTGGTAGTATGCTTTTTAAATAAAGAAATCCTTTTAAATGTTACCGATTTTTCCAGGTTGATTTAGTGTCCTCCAACTTTACTGAATTTGTTTATTATTTTTGACATTCTTTTGGTGGGGTCTTTAGATGAATTATATCATCTACCAATATGTATAATTTGACTTCCCCTTCCTATATGCCTTTTAGTTTTTTCTCTTGCCTAATGAATCTTGCCAAAACTTTCAGTATTGTTCTGAATAAAAGTACTGAGAGAGGACAGCCTTGTGTAATTCCAGATCTTAGAAGAACTGCTTTCAGCTTTTCTCCAATCGGTGCAATGTTGGCTATCAGTTTTTCACCTATAGCCTTTATTATTGAGGTACATTCCTCATATACCTCATTTGTTCAGAGTTTTTATTATGAACTGATGTTGAATTTTACTGAATGCTCTTTCTGTATCTATCAAGATGATCAGGATTTTATCCATTACCTTGATGTGGTATATCATGTTAATTGATTGACGTTGCTGCCATCATCCTTGCATCCCTGGGATAAATCCTACTTGATCATGGTGAATGATCCTTTTGATGTGCTGCTGAAATCAACTTGTTCATATTTTGTTGAGAATTTTTGTTATCTATATTCAACACATGTTCTCCTTGTTAATGTGCATGTGGACACATCAGCTGCTGGTTCTATTTTGCATCCTCTTTATCTATTCAAAGAAGCTTCTACAATATTCCGTTGGAGACTATATACTATTAACATCCAATTGGTGAAAAACTGGGATTTGAATTGCTGTTTCTCTATGGACTTTGCGTGTCAGAAGAAAGATTTTGATAAAGAGGTACACATTTGGTTGGACTGACCAACCAATTATTTTGGGATGTGTTTCATGATAACATAAATTACTTTATGTGTTGGGGCTGGCACTGTGGCGTAGTGGGCTAATGCCCTGGCCTGAAGCACTGGCAACCCATATGGGCATTGGTTCGAGACCCAGATGCTCCACTTCCTATCCAGCTCTCGGCTATGGCCTAGGAAAGCAGTAGAAGATGGCCCAAGTCCTTGGGCCCCTGCATCTGCATGGGAGACCTGGAGGAAGGTCCCAGCACCTGGGTTTGGATCAGCACATCTCCGGCCATTGTGGCCAACTGGGGAGTTAAACATTGGATGGAAGACCCCCCCACTCTGCATCTCCTCTCTCTGTGTAACTCTGACTTCCAAATAAATAAATAAAAATACTTTTTAAAATTTACTTTGTTGTTGTTTCTAGGCAGTTTTGGCTAAGATCATGTGTAAAAAAATTACTTTGTGTGCTAAGAAAAAAAGGAATCAAACTTACCCCTCAACATACACTCTGAGTAGAACATCAAAGAAAAAAAATAATGCAATAGCCAAAGAAATTGAATGGCATTCGAAAACTATTTTGTTATCATTGAAAATTACATCTGACATGATGAGAAATATGTCCACAAAGATGAGCAGGATTCCAAATACTCTATAAAGAACAAAATGTAAATAATGATAATACAGATAAAGAGATTTTTGTCCTATAGTTGGGCTATGTTTAGTTCAATAATCAGATATCAGTATGTGAGTATTTAGGCTTAAACCATCAAGTAAAGGGAAGAACTATGTGGCCTCAAAATCTCAAAAAATTACTCAGTTTTCACACAATCAAAGCATTAGCTGGTGAATAAAATTCTCAGCAGCCCATTTTACAGCATGTTATCTTGTCTTCTTATAGTATGCATATCATACTGACTCCTCAAGACACAGCAGGAAAACAAAATTAGAATTGTATGTCTCTTTTAGTAAATTATTCTTCTAATTTAAGAATTTCTAAGGAATTTCTATAAATTTCTCATAAAGTTGAAACCTCATTAATCTGAAGAATACTTAATAAAAACCAAGTGAGGGCATACTCAACATCAAGGCCTTAAAAGACCACTTTGACTAGTAAGATTTTTTTTATCAGTGAGTTTTTCAACAAGTACATGATTACAAATTCATGGGTGCTTCTGGCCCAGTAATTCTCACATAAGACAGAATTCAATTCTATCAGTATTTTGAATGCTGTACTCTAAAGTGCCTCCTAAACCTTTCTCTTAAACTTCTAAACACATTCCCTATAAACTGATTATATTATATAGCCTGTGAAGATTAACTAATCATCAGAGTACTTAATAATTCCAACTCAAATGAAAATATTAATTTAAAAGGAAAGAATTATTTATATTCCATAAATTTATATGAAATCTTTTATATACTTTTTGTTCAGAGTTTATGTACATTTTTGTATATTAGAGGAACTAAGTATATGTACTAAGTTCCTCTTATGTACAGAAAAGAAACTAAGTAAAATGTTTCCAAAATTAAGAATTAATTCTCATTCTGTATTGTATTTACTAAAATGCCTTACAATATTTATAATGTGTGCTTCGTTATTTTCACTTATACAGGTAGAAATTTCTTTGCAAGTCCTGATGTCCAGCTTAAGCCAGAATTCCAAAACAAATGAGATTACATGAAAGGGAAGCACAGAACAAATGAGATTACATGAAAGGGAAGCACAGAGTATATATATATACTATGTATATATATATATATGTATATATGTGTGTGTGTGTATGTTTGAAATATTTCTATTTTGTTTTCATATAATTTCCCATTTTAATAATGATATTAAATATTCATATTTAAATACATTCTTTTTAAAAGTATCACCTGAATGCAAAGGCTGATACAATTAAACGAGTAGTGTTCTTCATCTTGCTGCTGCAAAAAGGAGGAAATATACAATCAATCACAGGTTTCCTTTAAAATACATTAAGGTTTTAATTCAGAATGGCCCTTAAATCATAATTTTACAAGAAAAAATTTCAGAAGTTGTGAAACAAAGTGCTTTTTTGGCTAATAAATGAAATTTGTTTAGCTTTCTGCAACATGAGGTTTCGTGTGTGAATAAAACACTAAGCTTTGGATATTTAGTAACATTTCCCTTAGGTGTAAAGCCATGACTCTAAATGGTAATATTGAACTTAAGGACATAAACTAATGCACATGGTATGGACAAGAGAGTGGTAAGGTAGAACTGTATTCTCACACCAACTCTTCCATTAATGAGCTAGGGTGTTGTGGGCAGGTCACCAGATTTGCACTAAGCCTCAGGTTCCACAGTAGTAAGAGATTTCAGGGTTGGGCAACAGGAATAAATGGTATTCTTATCCTATAATGTTCATTTGTTGCATCTAGATTCCCATGAACAAAAAATCATTAATGAGAGCTACAGTTGGTGTTGCAAATGTACTTTGGAGGTAAGGAAGTTAGGCACATATTTCCAAGGAAAAAACATCCTAAAGACTGAGTGCCTTCCATTCATCACAGGAGGGAAAACCTGGTTTCTGTAGGCTCCAGTGATGCTCCATTTTACCAGATGGCTGCAGACAAGGTAACTAATGGGGACCAATTTCCTACCCTGCTGAAACCTCCAATGCAAGACCCAAATTCCATCCCACATGGAATGAATCCCAACACAGCTCTGATAGCCTATGCCCAAAACTGGAGAATGGAGAGAACAGATACTGAGCAGAGAACTTGGGACACAGATGAATGTTGTTAGGTTAACCTGAGATATAAGAAATCTTCAATACTTTTATTATCTCCCTCATCCACCTGCACCCACCCACTTTCCACCCAGACTAAGGAGCTAAGACTTAGGTAGATGGGCAACTGATTGATTAAAAAAGTAAAATTTACCTTGAGGTAGGCATCCTCTTACTACAAGCCCTTTCTGACTCCTGCAGTACACTGGATCTCCAGGAAGCAAAGAATTGTTACAACCCTGAAATTGCTTAAGAGTGGGGCCATAGAGAACCATGCTTGACAGAAACATGGAGGCACAAAGGAGTAGCTAGGAATGACACTAGCCTCTCTATTATTTTTCTGCATCTTTTCAAAACTATCCAGAGTAAATATACAATTAAGACTATTTTGTTCTTATCAAAGTTTAAATGCAGCTTCAAACAGTGTTGGAGGCAATGCAAATTGGATCAATCATATGGAAAACATGAAGAATATTCCTCAGGAAACTAAAAATAGATCTATGTGATCCTCACATCACACTCCTGGGAATATATGCAAGGCAAATTAAATCAGTATATGAAAGATGTAGCTGCACATCATATATATAGCGGCTCAATAATTGACAATAATAAAAACATGGAAGCAACCTAGATGACCATCAAATGGTGACAGGTAGTGAAAATGTGGTATAACTATTTTAATAAAATGTTTAGAAAAACAAAATGTGGCATGTACGCCCAATGGAATATTTCACAGCCACAACAAAGAATGCTATCCTGACCTTTTCAACAAAATGCATCGAACTGGAGATCATTAGACTATGTAAAATAAAGCAGACCATGGGGCCGGCATTGTGGCGCAGAGGGTTAAAGCCCTAGCCTGAAGCTGTGGCATCCCATGTGGGCGCTGGTTCTAGTCCCGGCTGCTCCTCTTCCAATCCAGCTCTGTTATGGCCTGGGAAAGCAGTACAAGATGGCCCAAGACCTTGGGCCCATGCACCTATGTGGGAGACCCGGAAGAAGCTCCTGGCTTCTGGCTTCAGATCAGCACAGCTCTGGCCTTTGTGGCCATCTGGGGAGTGAACCAGTGGATGGAAGACCAACCTCTCTGTCTCTACCTCTCTCTGTAACTCTGTCTTTCAAATAAATAAAATGAATCTTTAAAAAAAGTAAAGCAGACAATGAAAAACAAATATCACATGTTTTACTTGCAGAAGTTAATATTATGGGAGAGTATAAAAATTGCATGGCTGGCATATCATTTGGCCATTACAATTACAATTACATTACAATTACAATTATAAATAATTGTTTCACTGATTCATACCATATACATGACAATATGTCCTTTTTTCACATTATGATTATGATCATGAGTCCTCACTTTCTCATATTAATCTGTTTTCAAGAAAAAATAGTAGAGGCTGGGCTGTGGCACAGCAGGTTAAAGCCCCGGCCTGCAGCTCCAGCATCCCATATGGGGACCAGTTCAAGTCCTGGCTACTTGACTTCCAATCAAGTTCACTGCCAATGTGCCTGGGAAAGCATCTGAATATGGCCCAGCTCCAGGCTCCTAGCTTAAGATCAGCTCGGCACTGGCAGATGTGACCATTTGGGGAGTAAACCAGTGAATGGAAGTCTTCTCTCTCTGTCTCTCTCTCTCTCTCTCTCTCTCTCTGTAACTCTTTAAATAAAACAATTTAGAAGAACAAATAATATATATGTATATAATCTCCACATATGAAGTAAATGTGGCAAAATACTAAAAATTATTAAATTATTAAATTTTCAAGCTGAAAAATAATAAACATAAAAGCTACCTACAGATAAAAGGAGACTTTAGAAAGACATGCTGTATTGTCACTGATGCTGCTGACAATGAAATTATCAAATCTCCATCTCTCTGGGTATACATGTGTATGAGTGTGTGTCTATTTATATGTGTATTGGTTTACATAATCAAATATATATTTGTTTATATAGAGCTCACGTTTCATCGACGTCTTCATCAACAGATATTACTGTTGACTGACTTAATGGAGTGCTGAAGGATTAAAAATATGTATATCAGATACAACATAATTTCCTAGATTTTATCTTGGTTCAATTAGTTACAATTACTCATTAACTTAGAAACTGGTTGACTTTTAAAAAAATCAATTTAAAAAGTAAACCATAGATATGTCAAAAAGTAAAATTCACCCTGAGTTTGCAGATACCTATTTCTCTTGCCCCATCCAATTTCATGACTCTCAAGTACATTCACCATCTCAATCTCCATGAATCACATTGTCTCTATAGCCTCTCAGGTAAGGTCAAGCAGACCTGAGGTGGCAGCTCCATTTTTTGTGGGTAGGCACCAGCCTCACATGGTGGCACAGCTCTGGAGAGTGAAGGATACATCCAGGATGCATTAGCTTTATTCTTTTCTGCTGAGGGCACCTCAGCTGCTGTCATTGCCACTTCCTTGGTCCATCCCGATGGCTTTCTCTGCAGCGTTGGCCTGCTCTAATAGTGTCATACAGACATTCTGATACTTTCCTAAAGGTTTGGCTGCTACAAACTCAGGGTGAAGTAAGCAGTAAGTAACAAGAGAAGTAAGTGAAGTAAACAGTAAGAGTAAGAAGAATCCTTTTTCAAACTATGCTTCTTCTTTCTATGATGATTCAAAACAAAGAGTATTACATACCGAAGCTTCCCATGAAAGGACCATTAGGAATGGCATGGAAGGAACTAAGTATTCTCATGGGTGCTCCTGACAGTGACTATCCCAAATTCCACCCCCCACCCCACACACCACAAATCATTTATGTCTTATTACCTTACACTGATGTGTTCACTTGGGGATGTTTTCAAGTCTGACTGGGCAGTACTAGAGGATTAAAAAGGTACATAGTAAGACCCCATGCAACTTGCTAAACTTGCTGCTTTACTTCAAAACGGTTTCAATAACTCTTCAGCTTACAAACTGGTTGACCCTTAAATACTTCATATACAAATCAGTTGTTTTGAATAGAATATGCCATGTTCCTTAAAAATGATTATTTCTATCATTGTGGTAAGTACTTTAGTCCTGTCAAAAATGTAATGGTTCAGTATTAAAGTGCAGTTTCTTATCACTGAATGTGACGCGATGTGTAAAAACCTTTTCTGATGGGATTTATTTGAAATTCAACTTTAGGATGCTTATTGCACCTAAAGCCCTGCTTCCTAAGACCCTCCTTCACTCCTTTAATTCATCAAGGTGATCTTGCTTCCCTTTAGACAGGGTCTAATAGCTGGTAGCATGAGTCAGGGTTCCCTCCAATATGCTGTTATTTTTAGCTTCAGGGTACCTGCCTTACTAGGTAGCAGAGAACTGGAGGATACAGGAAACATCCAGGTTCCATTACCTCCTCCCCTTTCTGCTGAATTTATCTGATTTATCTGTTCCTTGTCCACTGCTTCCTCCCTCTTGCTCTAAATATGTCTCTCCTCTTTCCACCCAATCCAATAAGGTCTCATACAGAGGATTCTGAAGATATTCTGAGAGTTTGGCTAGTGATTGCCCAGGGTATAAATAACACAAGAGGAAACATTGATCTTGTAACATTTTTCTCTCTTATCCAATACAAACCAAAAGAAAGGTACCTACATAGGCTACAGAGAGACTAGTTAGAAACAGTGTCAAAGATGCTGTATGCCATGTATGTTTCTGACTACGAACTTCCCAAATCTTCATCTCTCTGTTTAATATGTATATATGAATGCTTGAATATATGTATAAATGTATATATTTTATGTATATATCTTGATATATTTTTATTTATATATATATAAATATATATATCTCACACTTCACTTGTAGCTCCATCAACATGTAGTGATCCATATTCATATATTGAAGTCCTGTTGGATTTAAAAACACATTAGTCAGATACCTTATAACTTTCTAGGTTTAAATTTTGGTCTTAAAAGTTTATATATCTTGTTTATCTTTTCAAAACACCAGCTTTTATTTTTGTTGATCTTTTGTATTTTCTTTAGTTTCCATATCATTGATTTCTTTTTTTCCACTTTGTTTATTTCTGCTCTGAATCTTAATATTTCTCACCTTTTTTATTTGAGATTTTGTTTATTCTTAAGTGCTTAAGATTCATCATTAGATTATTTATTTGATATCTGTCTTTTGTAATGTAAGCACTTAAGCAGTGGTGCCAGACAATGAGAAGGTAGACACCCTACGCTTGGCTCACTTTATTAAAATCTGATACACAAAACATTGAGTTTCCTAAGTGTTTTCCTGTTACTAATGGTGATAATACACCAACAGGAAGAAGCAACCCTCCATAATCTATTTTTCTTTTATCCAGTACAATATTTGAAAGAGAAATTTACCTACAGATGTTCCAGTGTGAAGGTCTTACTCTCTATTGTCATGGTTTCTCCTGACTGTGAATTTCATGAATATCAGTCTCCACCTTTCTGTGTATGTGTGTGAGTCCACAATCAATGGATGTGTGTATGTATATATGTATAAGTTATATATCTTATCCATCCTTTTATTTAAGGAATACAAGCTTCATACATATCATAATGAAACCTTCATGAACATCGTAATTCTTTTTTTTTTAACAGCAGAGTGGACAGTGAGAGAGACAGAGAGAAAGGTCTTCCTTTGCCATTGGTTCACCCTCCAATGGCTGCTGCGGCTGGTGCGCTGCAGCCAGTGCACCACGCTGATCCGAAGGCAGGAGCCAGGTGCTTATCCTGGTCTTCCATGGGGTGCAGGGCCCAAGCACTTGGGCCATCCTCCACTGCACTTCTGGGCCACAGCAGGGAGCTGGCCTGGAAGAGGGGCAACCAGGACAGAATCCGGCGCCCCGACCAGGACTAGAACCCGGTATGCCAGCGCCACTAGGTGGAGGATTAGCCTATTGAGCCACAATGCTGGCTTGAACATCACAATTCTTCCCACTGTATCCACCTGCACACCTACTCTTCCACTGCTCTTCCTCCTCTCTCTCTTATTCAACTCTTATTTTTTACTAAGATCTATTTTCAATTAACTTTATACACATATGATTAACTATTAAGTAAAGAGTACAACAAATAGTTGAAAAAACTGTTCCTCATGTAATTATCTATTAATATAACTATGTATTCATTTATTTCTCACATTTCATTGATAACTCCACCAAAGGATGCTGCTGCATGTGAAGGAGAGCTATAGAATTTAAAAATACATGACTGATTGACATTTAGTTCACATCTAAATAACTTACTTGAAAGGTTGTTATCTGTTATTCATACAAATCAAGCTTTCTATGTTTTAATGAATATGTTCCTTCTGTGAAAAACTTTAATGACTCAGGATCTAAGCTAAAGGATTGGTGTTGTGGCATTGCTGGTTAAATCTCCACCTCTGACATCAGTATTCCAAATGGGTATTGGTTCAAGACCCTGCTGCTCCACTTTTGATCCAGCTTCCTGATAATGTACCTAGGAAAGCAGTGGCGATGGCCCAAGTACTTGGGCACTGCCTCCACAAGGGAGACCTGAGAGAAGATCCAGGCCCCTAGCTTCAGCCTGGTGCAGCTCTGGCTTTCTAGCCATTTGAGGAGTGAACTAGCAGATGGAAGATCTTTCCCTCCCTCTGTCCCTCGTGCTCTCTCTGTAACACTGCCTTTCAAATATATGAAAAATCTGAAAAAAAAAAGATTTAAACTTAGTCATTTACTGTTGAACCTACACACAATGTGAAAGCACTTTCTGGTTTAATTTATTGCTAACTAAATTGCAGTTTCTAGGTACAAATACCTTTTACCCCATCTAATTTTCTTATTCTCATGTCTCTCCATCAACTCTATTTTCACCCATCTCTGTCCACCCTTTTGTATCTTCTCTATTCCTATTTCAGGAACTGTAGGCCTGAGGCAGAGGCTGTATCCAATGTGATGGAAGGTTTGGGTTTGAGGCAACAGCTTCACATAATGGCAGAATTCCCGAGGGTGAGGAACACAGACTGGGTCTCTTAGCTCCATTCTTCTGTGTTGAGTGCTCCCATTATCTCTGCCTTTTGCTATCTCCTCCTGGCTTTAGTGGGATTCTTTCCTCCCATGGCCCGGTAGAGACTCTAATAGAGTCTCATGCACAGGAAACCTAAGTTGTCAAAGCACTTGCTGTCTCCTAATTAAGGATGGCAAACACCAAGAGAAAGAAGCATCCTATGTGCTATTTCCTTTTATCAAAAATAATCTCAAAAACATGGTAATATACCTACAGATGCTATAGTGAGGTACTGTGTTTTAAGGTCTAGAAATAAGGCCATACATCTACAGCCAGAAGATTTTTGACAACATGAGCAGACCAGACATTAATGAAAGGACAGTCTCTCAAAAGATGATGCTGAGAAAACTGAATATGCACATGCAGAAGACTCAATCTTTCTCAATTTACAAAAATTAATTCAAAATTGATTGAAAATTTAAGTGTAAGACCTAAAACTATGAAACTATCAAAAGAAAACAGGAGAAACCTTTCTTGATATTTTGGACATGATGGAAAGCACAAGCAAGGAAAGCAAAAATAGACAAATGGGATTATGTTGAACTTAAAAAGTTTCTGCATAGCAAAGAAAACAATTAACAGAGTGAACAGATAATCTACAGAATGGTGGAAATATTTACAAACTCTACATCTGATAATGTTAATAATGTCCAGAATATATAAGAACTCAAACACCTCAAGAGCAAAAATGCCTAGCATTTAAGCCACTGGTTAGGATACTGTCATGCCATATCACAATGCCTGATTTCAAGTTACAGCTCTGTTCTAAATCCAGCTTGCTGATGCATACCCTAGGAGGCAGAAGGTGATGGCTTAAGTAATTGAGTCCCTGGTGCTCATGTGGGAAGACCAGATGAAGTTCCTGGCTCCCAGCTTCATGCTGGCTCAACCATGGTCATAACAGGCATTTGGGGAGTAGATCAGCAAATGCGGGATCTCTCTGACTGGTTGTGTTTCACTGCCTGACTTTCCTTTAAAAAAAAAACAAAGCAAATAATCTCATTTAAAAATATACAGAAGACCTGAATGAACATTTCACAAAACATGACATGAATGACAAACTGGTATTTTGAAAAGCATTCAGCATTACTAATCATTGGGGAAATTCAAATCAAGAAAACATTGAGATACCATATCACCCTGGCTGGAATGTTTATTATTCAAAAGGCGAAAGTTAACAGGTGCTGGCAAGGATGTGGAGAAAAGTGATCCCATAAACACTCTATGTGGGAATGTAAATCAATATAGCCATTATGAAAAGCATTTTGTAGGTTTCTGAAAACATTAAAAATAGAACTACCATAGGATCAGCAATCCCATGACTACTTTTATACTGAAGGAAATTGAAATCATTATGTTGAGGTTTTCACATTCTTATGTTTATTGTAAGACAAGAGCCAAGATACAGAATCAAACTAAATATCTATCAATAGTGAATAAAGGAAATTTGGTGTATATGTACACAAAGGGCTGCTATTCAACAATTAAAAAGATAAATCTTGTCATTGTGACAACATTCATGGAACTGGAAAATATATTAAATGAAAAAGCCAGGCCAGAAAGACAAATACAGAATAACCTCATTAATACATAGAACCTAAAGAAGCCTAGTTCATAGAGGTAAAGTATAGAGTAATGGCTAGCAGTTGGGAATGGGGAAGAGGATTTCAGCAAGTTAAAAGTTAAAATCATGGGGGGCGGAGCCAAGATGGCAGAATAGTGAGGGCACGCACCGGTAGTCCGGGAAAATTTAGTTTAATAAAAGCAGAGTTACGGTAGCCTCAGAAAAAGGATCAGGAAAAAATTGCAGAGGAAACTCTTCCGGAGCTATTCGCTGTGACCCAAAGGACCTACTGGGAGAGCAGGGTCACCCACCACGCGGAAGCCGAACCACAGGAGCCCCAGAGTCTGAGCACCAGTGTGGGAAGGGGAGTCTATGTGACAAAGACACCAGCGGGGAGAGGAGTGACGCTAAGGGCTCCGAGTCCACACATCGGCACTGGAAGCAGAGGTGAGCTCAGTAACCGGAGACATTGGCGGGGAAACGGCAGACAGAATTTTAGAGGGACGCGGGTTTTGAAGCGGGAAAGTCCAACAGACTACAGGAGAGAAGGAAAAATAAATAAATAAATAAATAAATAGGTGGGGGCATACTGGTACAGACAAGTTCCACTCTCCGCCAACCTTGCAAAGGTGAGCAAGAGACAAAGAGCTGGGATATACATAATAAAAGGGGAGAGTTAAGCCTACAATTCAGTAGCCTAGGCAACCCAGTGGGAGTCTGCAGTAGAAACGGAGCCTGCACAGACTCTTTGGGTAGAAGCCAGTGGAACCTAAATACCATCCATTCTGCTCAGCCTTGCAGTATTACTTACCTCCTGAACAAAAAATAAAATAAAATAAAATAAAATAAAATAAAAGAGATTTACCACGCATAACCTGAGGGCCTGAGGGTGTCACCTTTGCACACCTGTAACCCTGAAGAACCAAGCAGAGCTCTCAGGCGCTCCTCCAACAGCAGGCAGTCCACTTAACACGGACATATAAAAAAAAAAAAAAAACCTCACAGTAAGGGAAACAGAATTTTTTTTTTATCTTTTATTTAATGAATATAAATTTCCAAAGTACGTCTCATGGGTTACAATGGCTTTCCCCCCCATACCGTCCCTCCCACCCACCACCCTCCCCTTTCCCACTCCCTCTCCCCTTCCATTCACATCAAGATTCATTTTCGATTCTCTTAGTATACAGAAGATCAGCTTAGTATACCTTAAGTAAGGATTTCAACAGTTTGTTCCCACACAGAAACATAAAGTGAAAAATAATAGATGATTTTTTTT